CACTATAATTGAAGTCAAAGAAAAATGACAAATTGCTATCTATTGGCCTCTGGACCATCACAAAGCATTCTTTCCCCCAGTGATAACAAAGTTTACACTTTAATATCTATCCCAAGCTGCAACTTCTGCCACTCTTGCGCCTTAGCCTGTGCATGCCATTCTAATTTTTTTTTTATAAAAAAATTCAAACTTAGGCAGTAGTTTAATTAAGGAATTTAGGGTAACTACATAATCTCCTCTCTCCTCTCTCCTCTCTCCCTTTTCTATGTGATCTCGAATAAAATGATGTCTCAAGTTTATGTGTTTAGTGCGTAAGTGAATTATGAGATTCTTAGAGATGTTTATCGCACTAATTTCCAGTAACAATGTAAGTTTTTATTTTCATTTTTTTGCATATGTAGAATATATATGTTGATTCCATCCTAAATTTTTTTTTACGACTTTTACACTAAGACCCCTTGTGTTTTGATTCCTGGCTCCACCACTGCCGATGTTGAACTCAACATGGTAGCACAACTTGGGCGTTAAATTTTAAAAGATTTGGACCATTTCTCGACTTATATGTGTCATTCTTGCACAGGGCCATACTAATCTTTTTGTTGTTCCAATTTTATCAGACGTCCCTAGGTCGTCACGATTACAAAACATAAAAAAGAACTTTTGTCTAGACATTTACAACAATGATTCAAGAAACCTAAGTGAAGCTAGTAGTTTAGGGTTCAATTGAGGTAGGCCCCATTGACAGTTCAATTGGATTTTCAATGCACACTCTTTTGTTTGATACTCTGTTTTGGTTAACAAAGTTCATTTTCTCAATAAAAATAAAAAAAACTTTAATTTATTAAAATTAAAAAAAAAAAAAGAAGAAAAAAAAAAAAAAAAAAAAGAAAAAAAAGATCCTGCATTAGGCGTTTAATTAGGGGAAGACTCGAATAGATCTAAATTCATGTCCCGAACCTTCACCAAAAACTTCTATAAAAAAAAAAAAAAAAAAAAAAAAAAAAAAAAAAAAAAAAAAAAAAGAAGAAGTGAGAATCATTCTTTACGAGTGGAAGATGGCCGGTAAGACTGATTCCCAAACACTGAATTTGGAATCCAATTACTACAAGAAAAGGTCTAAAAGTCTTAACAATAATTGGGAATGTTCCATTTCATATGGGAAAAGCCCACAACCCTTTTCCCCCTTTTTGTGTTCGATTTGGACGTTTTTCGTGCGTCACCAATTCCCACGTATATTTCACAGAGCCATTTATCTTACAACACCATTATCTTTCTCCATGTCATTTAAATTATAAAATAAAAATTAACACCGTCTTCTCAGCAATATTAATCATGTAGTGGTGCACATGAACATCTCTTTCTTGCCAGCTTCTGCCAGCTCCTATTCATCATACAACTAAACAAATATGTTTATACTAAGTTGCTATATAAAATAAGACCAAATCAATTCCATTTATTAATTGGTGCTTATGATGGGATACAATATGCGGATCTAGTAAGATTCTACTTCGTTTTCGAGAATAAGTTTCCTCATCACCCTAACACTATTGTTCTTAATAGTATGTTTACTAATTAGTAATTTGGGAGGAATTGAATTGAGGAGTTGAATTGAGAAGAATCAGATTAGAGATTCATATTGAAGTTGTTTACTAAACCATATGGATTGAGAAGAGTTAGATTTCGGATTCTTATTGAAGTTATTTACTAAACTATATGGAATTGAGGTATGAGTTGTATTAATTACTAAAACGTCCTCGTTGTTGGGTTAAGTATATGGCAAATTTGAAAATTTGAAAATTGTGTAAGAATGTAATGGGTAAAAAAGATGAATTCCTAATGGGTTAGTTCTCTATGAATTAGAATACCACCTCTCACCAAAGAATTGAATTCCTCCAAAATCAGTAATTCAACTTCTAATTTTGTGTGGACTCCACTTACTTTTTAATTCCTTAATGTGAAGTAAATGCAAAAATCCTCCATTTGTGGAATTCAATTCCTGATGAGAATTCAAATTCCTGATTAGTAAACACACCACAAGAGTTGAATTCATAATCTATTCTATTAAGTTGGAGACTGAATGTAATTAAACTAAATGATCATTACATTACCTTATTCTTATTCAATACGTGTTAGATGTATATAAGTGGTAATGGTTAGCACAACCCCTTTCTATTGAGAGATCCCTCAAATTATTTTATTTGAGGGACACCCTTTAGGGTCCCTTATGAATTTTTTTCAACAATCCAAACAATTTATTTTTTACGTCTACATTCATAGATCATCCTTGCAAAAAACAGACAAATCGGAAACCGTTTCGACATCCAATTGTATCATATAAAATCAATGAACACGGTGATTCAAGAAAGTATTAATAATTTCAATTAACTTGAATTGAAGATGTTAGTAATTATATTTATTCATTTTGTTTTTTTTTTTTTTTTTTTTTTTTTTTTTTTTTTTTTAGTGAGATATGTTTGAATGATTATCTAAAAAATAGACGGTTCGGATTAGTGAAATACAATGTGGAGTGGACCCTACAAGGATGTCCCTCAAATAAGCTTATTTGAGAGATCCCTTAATGGAAGCTCTCTGATGGTTAGTAAGATTAAACTAAATGAGCATAATTGTTCTCTTCGACTGCACTAGAACTTAACATTAGAAAAACTAATTTTTTTTCGTCAACTGATATGCCAGTGTTTCATTTCCTTTCCTTCTAATTTTTGGACGTCAATTGATATGCTTGTGTTTCAAATAAACTTATTTGAAGAATCCCTCAATGGAAGCTATCTAGTGGTTAGTAAGATTAAACTAAATTAGCATAATTGTTATCTTCGATTGCACTAGAACATAACATTAGAAAAATCAATTGATATGCCGGTGTTTCATTTTTGGTTCACCCCCATGGTTAAAGGTCTTCAATTAGCTTCCCAATACGGTTACACTGACATTGTTGTGGAAACTGACTCTAAAGTTCTTATCGAATGAGTAAATGGAAGTGCGAGGAATCAAGCATGAAGTATATTGCCCCTCTTTGAAGAAATTCAGAGTTTTAGCCGGCGATTTCATGATGTCCGGTGGAAATGGGTGTCAAGGAATGCAAATCGTGCTACTCACATGGCGACATCAATAGGATTTTGGGCTGTAGAACTGGAAAGTTGGGCCTATTGGCCACCACAATCTCTTGTGCACGTTTTGGTCTCTAATGGCTTGCCATGCCCTCTTAGCAACTCTATGTAAGGTCACAATCTGTGTGGGGAAATGCATCCTGCCGATCTCTGTCGAGTCCTGTTTTGCTTCTCCTTCTTTAGTCTGTTCTTTGTGGCTTTGCCTCTTTGTTTAGTGGTCTGTAAACATTAATATCGTTGTACGCGTACTTCTTTCCAAACTTCTATGCACGGAGTCAAAAGACGACAACAAGACAAGAAAAATTTGGAGGCCAAGGTATTTTTTATTCGTGTTCGTTGAGATGAACATGTTAGTTGTTTTCCATTTGCTACGAAGCAACGGTAACATCATTAAACATATAATATAATCTGATGAAAAGATAATATTATAAATTTCTTTTCTCTCTCCCCAATTATCCCACAGAGGAACGCCTAAGTACAACAGAACACAGCTGGCACAAAAAAGCCATCAATTTGATTAAACAAAAGGAAGTCTCTCGCATACAACAAAAGGTCCTCATCCGAACGAAAACACAGTTAACCGAAACGTGGCTGGATCCCAATTTTGATTAGACCGTTTTTATCATAGCCACCAATGGGCGTTGGCCATGTGTACAAATTATGTAGGCCATTTGTATTCTATAACTTCTTTTTAAATTGTATTATAGAACTTTTAGGTTTTCATTTCAAGCATCATATTTAGCATAACCACGATTAATTTTGGAATAAGATACAATACTATAGCTCAAGTGGTTAATACCAGTTATTTATGCACCCGAGGTCATGTGCTCTAATTCTCAACTTATTCCTATTAGAAATATAGTTTACAATGCGATTAACAAATATGGTCCATTCAACATTATTGTTAACAATAAACAAAATAAGGTTATTTACTTATATTTTCTATGTTGATTGTAAAACAATATTGTCTTCAATTTATTTTCCCACCTACCATCACAACTTGGGCTAAGCCTGAAGACTTAGCAATACTTGTTTACGTTATGTGAGATGGTTAGGCAACACTGTGTGTGGGTGCGCGTTTAGTGTGATTGTTAATGATAATTAGCAACAACTAATAATCAAAGGGTCATTTCCGTAAAACCACCGACCACGTTTGGAGTTGTTGAAAAGGGCAACAACTGAATCCAGACTGTTAAAAGCTAAGCTCCGCACTATTATATTGCCAAGCCGAAAATGCGAATGCACCAAATGTGGTAGAAAAAGACACTCTACTAACCCTCAAGCAACCATAACGCGTGACGTGTCCAACCCAAATTGCCATGATCACACAATCTCAGCCCTCAAAACCATGTTTACACTGCGATTAAATTACCAATATAACCCTAATTACGACACGCGTCGAAGCGTAGCAATTCGTGTTAGGTGGTTCTACCCGTAGCCGATCCTTGAAGAAAGTTGAAAGAATTGACCAATTATTCACACCGCCCTCGCTGGCTTAACCACATTATTAAATTAGTAATTTTTTTTATTATAAAATTTGTTACAATTAAATATGTAATGTGGTCGTGGTGGGTGCATATGCAGATGCAATGTGGTTTTTTATTTTATTTTTATGTCTAAATATAATAAACCCTAAATTAAAACCCTCCATGAAGGAATCTCAATATCTCACATTATTGAATTTAGAAACGAGCTGTCCCTCAACAGCCCCCCACTTTCTCCCCGAACCCTTTTATATTCCCCTCTCCTTTTGAACCCTTCCCTCACTCCCCAAACTCTCACTCTCCCAAAACTCTCAAAAACTCATCAAAACCTCTCTCTTTCTCTCTCTCTCTCTCTCTCTCTCTTCCACAAAAAGAAGAAGAGAAACAAAAAATGAAGATGGGTTTGGCTGGGTTTCAAGTTCTCTTGGTCTTGGGTCTCTTGGCTACATCATGCATAGCCCAAGCCCCATCCGCCGCACCCACCGCCACACCACCAACCGCAACACCACCAACCGCAAAGCCACCAACCGCAACACCACCCACAGCCACCCCTCCATCCGCCGCACCAGTTCCGGCACCTACCACGTCACCAACTCCGTCTCCAACCAAAGCCCCAGCTCCAAGCCCCACAGCGCCAGCCTCCTCCCCCTCAGCCGAGACACCGTCTTCAACTTCTCCACCTGCACCCGGGGGCCCAGCCGGCAGCCCGAGCTCCCCGACGGCCGACACCCCTTCTCCTCCTCCTCCCAGTGGGAGCTACGCTCCTGGATTGGCCAGCCGCGCTGCTATTGCTGGAACTGCTCTCGCCGGAGCCTTGTTTGCCGTTGTGTTGGCTTAAGACGCTCGTAGAGTTTGGCCTTGGCTGGCTGGCTCTCTTGGGTTTTTCGCAGTTCGTCCACTTGGAGACTCGTAGGCTGTTGGATCTGGGTTTTGATGGACGGACGAGATCTATTATTTTCATTTGATTCTGCTTTAGTGTTTTTGTTTTTGGCTGTGTTTCTTCCTTTTAAATTAATTGGGTTTGACTCATGGAGGATATTTGGATGGTGATTAGTACTCTTAATTATTTCGGTGATTCATATTGTTTCGGAGTCGACACGTGCACACATTTGTAGATGAGTCGTTTGGATGTACATCTGATGATAGTTGAATAAAACAGTTTGCAATTCTTTTTCTTTTTTCCTCATTTTTCGAATTTACCACATTTCCAATGAGGAAGTAATTTGGAGAGAGAATTGAGGCATAATTTTCTAGGGTTAGGTGGCTCTACCTTTTGACGAAGGGTAAGCATATGCTGTGCCAGCAAGATCCTTAGCTTGTCTACAAGCTTCTTCCAATGCTTGACGTTGACCCAACAATTTTCAAAAGTTACCATAATTTCTTCCAAGTGCTCCATTAAACTTGAGTCTTTTCTTTTGTGTGATTCCATAGTGTTTCTCCCACGTGTGATCCCTTTTAGATGAAAAGTTCAAAAAAACAAGGAGGAAATTAGGTGGTAATAATTTTGTTTTGAAAGTGATTCGGAATTTAGATAGACTATAGCATTTTCTAATATACAATCATTAAAATTCTTGTATTATTTTCTATGTGGAAATCCAAACGGTTCGAGCTAGTCAAACCAAACCAATCCAAACGGTTTGATTTAACTTTACGCTTGTTATTTTCTTATTGGTCATCACACTATTATGTTTCATCCTAGTCATTGATATCAACCACTTGATGCTAAAGCCCAAATTCGTTAACCTATTCAAGCTCCATCTTCAACGATTAGAAATTTTCTCAACTACTATATAAATTTTAGGGTATGAAGTTGCCTTTGCCTTTGATGTATATTTCCTTAGTTACTTATGAAGGGAAACTGATCACTATAAAATGTAAAATGAGGCCTGAACCAGATCAATTTGAACTGTAACATCACATTTATTCATTGTGCTATTTGAGGCTTAAACCAAACCATACTGAACCGCAACCACAACCCCATGTCCTGGCTGGTATAGCTTTTGCTAGTAAGCCTTCTGTACCTAAGAACAAAAAAGTAGGTAATAATTGGGCCTTGTAAGTAGTAAGCCCTCATACAGAACAACTATGGCATCATCAATTCACACCCAGACCAGACATCTAAGAAGAATTGTAGAATTGTAGAATTCTATAGTTAGGGCCTTAGATAAGGACATTATATGAGGCTCTATATCTTAACCATTGGATTAAATTAGATAAGGACATTAAATGAGGTCCTATTTATTAACCATTAGATCAAAGTAATCAATTTGATTCAACGATTAAGATAGAGAGCCTCATCTAATAAGGCCCTCACTATAGAATGACTCGCATCTAAACACAAGGCTACAATAGATGAGGCAAAATTTTAAAACAAATATGTATGTAGACAGACTTGGGTTGTCCAGAATGATAGGGTGAGAAATGTTAGTAACCTATCATATAATATGCATGCTGGTTTTCCTTTTTCTCTTTTTCGTTTTCTTTTTGAAGAATCTTAGTAGTTAGGAAATGGCGATTAGATAGTGAAAAGTTCACTGTGTTTGCATGATATATATGTTCTTACTAGTCAGGAAAGTACTCACATCTTTGGGACTGTAACAGTCACCATATATATGAATGTTACGTTCTACACATTGTACTTTTATGTTGAAAGATTTACATTTTTATGGTACAAAGGGTTTCAAATAACAGTTGAGTTATTGGAGGAAATTAAACTAGAAAACCATGAGAAAAGAGAAAAAGGAAAAAGGAAAAAGGAAAATAATTAGGAAATAATTAAGAGAAGCACTTTGCTTGACATAAATTGCTGGTTTCAGAATAGGAAATATCATATCCAATCCCGTATAACTTCAGATTTTGTAGCCAATGGATTCCCATGATGAACCTTCCCAAAACGCCCTAATGCCTGTCATTGAAAACCATCAATGCAAGCCTTGAAACAAATGAAGATCCTCTGAAAGCAAGAACCATCTTCAACCAAATCGAGCATACAATGAGATCCCACATTACTAGACTTCAAAGCATCAACTTACTGAGGTAAATGAGCGCAAGACAAAACATTATCACCATGTAAATCACAATTGGTAGACTTCTTCTTCAATATGCTTCACCAAAGATCTGAATGAACTTTGCCATCCACAATCGAAGAAAATACACGAGATCCCATAGCCTTACTATTTTTCTCATGAATCAAATCAGTACAAGTATACGATTGTTACATCCATCTATGTCCGTCATGTTCCACGCTTATCTCATGGACAATTCGTATGACCTTAGGTTGTAATCTTGTTGACTCAACCGAAAAAGGAGCTAATTGGTTTTCTTTTAATCTGTTTTGTTTTTATCTTTAACATGGTGACTCAAACTCAAATATAATTTAAGTTTTGTTCATCTGATTGCTCAGTTTTAAACCTTCTTCTTCCAAATTAACATGGTGAAGGTTTTTGGTTTTTTAAAGGGTGTAGATATAATAAAAACAATGAGTTGTGTACGACCTGTTGGAGATTTGACTAGCTAGATTGCATTACCAAATATCAATTTTCTAAATTCGATTATAAAAAATAAAAATAAATAAAAGATTGTCAAAGATAAAGAATGAAGCTAGATCTTTGATTTGATTTGAGGGACATGTTCATTTCAAGGGCCTCAGATAAAAAAGGAAGTGAGAAAGCAAAGAAACCAAAAAATTAATGGTAGTTGTTTGTATGTGCAGGAACTTCTAGTCTTTTGAACTCCAAAGGCCAAGGGAGAAAAAGAAATCCCATAACTAGCACAAGATGGAGCAATTGAATTCAAGGAAATCAATCATTCGTAAGTCATAGAGGAGACACCTACTTAATCCTCGACATCTTACAAAAAATTAAAGACTTTTTAATGCAACACAAACACATGGAAGACTCGGACAAGTGTCTAGAATCAAAGACCAATCATGTAATCTACCAAAGTATGATAAAACCCTCTTCTTCTTCTTTTGTTAAATTCATAGTCGAAAATTGCTACAAACAAGTTAGAAAAGAGTTTAAGTAGTACATAAAAGCCCTAATCAAAATAAAGAGAAATGCTCTGAATTACAACTATTATTGTAGCAAATCAACAATATAATATCGAAAGTATCAACTCAATATCGATACTTTATTCATGTCATATCATGACTACCTGGAATTATTTTCTATTGAAATAATGAGACAATATCGACAATATATTGAGATGATATCGATATAATGAGACTATTTTTTTTTTCTTCCAATAACAGTGTTGTTTGAAAGCTTCAATATAATAATTGTGGTATTTGAGAGCATTTCTCTAAAGAAGACCAAAAAGCAAAATTGCCCACAAAATTCTAAAATTTAAAATGCGATTACAGTCTTATTGGGATAAAAATTGGTTGAAATCAAAACAAAATGGTGAGTCGTTGTAGATCTCGTTACCATTCAATTTGATATATCATAGGCCAAATCACACAATCGAGCGCAACTAATGTTAACAACTCAACTTTCTTTTATTGTCTTTATGTCTCAAGTTTTTTTTATTTTTTTTTATTTTTTATATTTTTTTATAATAAATAAAAATCTTGAGAAAGAGAATTCATTCATAAAATCACTGATGTACAAAGAGTGACATGATATAGTGGCATCGTTAAAACCTTCACAGGACAACCTCATAGAACAAACCCACGGGGAGGAAAGAGTACCACACATGTCATGGACTAACAAGAGAGTCTAATTCAAGTCACTTTGGACCATTACAATAAAAGAACAGGTCAAAAACGAAAACTAACACAAAGACGTCCGACGAGAATCGCAACTAGAGACCAACACAGTAGACCCACATGAGAGGACCGCAGAAACCCCAAATAGTAAACCCACATGAGAGGACCACAGAACATCCCAAATATCAAAAGAAGCCTTCTATGAGAAAAATCATAGTCCTTTTGACACCCACACAAATTGTAAGGCATACCATAATAGAAACTAGGTGTGGCATTTTAAACCGAAAAACCGCAAAAACCAACCGACAATTTACCGTAATGAAACCGCAATCGCGATAAACCGAACCGTATTTGCGGTATTAAGAACCAAACCGCATTTGCGGTTGCAGTTGTGGTATTTGATTTTCAAAACTTGCGATTACCGCAAACCGCAAAGTATAGCCACACGAATGATGAGGTTGAATTCTACAATAAAATGGAACATATGACAACTTGTAAGTGATTAGTTTATTTATGCTAATGTTATTTATGCTTCTTTTTATAATAAAATGTACTAAACTATGTTGTTTTATTTGTAGATAATATTGGTGCTCAAACAACACAACGGAGTTCTTCAAATCCACTTACCACCAATACTTGAGTTTGTAACATTGGTGCATTGCATTTTCCTTTTAGTTTGTAACTTTAGTTAACTTTGAATTGGATTTTTCTTTTTGGTTGTAACTTTAATTCATTTTGCTTTACATTTTCCTTTTGGTTTGTAACTTTAAAGGATTTGGAATTGGAATGCTTGAGAAGTTTAACTTTAATTGGAATGCTTTGAATTGTAACTTTAATTTTCTTAGGTTGTGAATGCTTGAGAAGTTGAGGAGATTGTGAATTTATATATGCTTGAGAAATTGAGGTTGTGTATTTATTTATTTAGGTTGTGAATTTATATTTTTGTGAATGCTTGAGAACTTGCGGTTTTAAACCACTAATTCGTGGTAACCGACCGCATTTTGCGGTTTCAAAAATCACCAAACCGCAAATAATCGGTCGGTTTGCGGTTTGAGTAAAAATTCGCGGTTACTGAACCGCAACCATCCCTAATAGAAACCATGAGAGAACACAGAGGAGGAACACATAAACAATAGTAAAAAGATCCATGAGAAGCACTCCACTTCAACTCAGAACATGACAAAGAAAACCTCCTATGACCAAGCATAGTTCTTCAATCGGCGCAGAGTAGAGAAAAGCACCACATCCTAATAACTACCACCAACGTCGTTGTTGCCTCCACCGTTAAAACATAGACAAAACACCAGCCACCAGGTATCACAATTCTCCCAAGGAGAGACACAATCTAGCATCACTACTGTCGCCGCTGCAGAGACAAAAACAACACCAGTCACCTAGAATACTGCAAAAACAACCAAACAAAACAAATAGATAAATAGACTTAGATCCAAATAGATCTAGACTATCTGGGGAAGGGAAGGGGAGGAGAAGAGTGAATAAGAGGAAGGGAAAAGATGGGAGAAAAAGAAGGGGAGATGAGGAGAGGAAGGGGAAGATGGGTGGAGGGGCAGTGGCCACCTCCCCCGCTTAGCTTCCTTGCGGTTGGTTGTTAGCAAGAAGAAAGGGGACCAAGGTGCGACTAGAGTTTTCACAAAAGTTGAAACACATTCAAGTATAACTTTTTGAAAGGAGTTGTTTATGTCTCAAGTTGTTGTATGAATTGGTCGATAGGTTGTTCTACATTGCATATATTCACCCTTTAGGTAATAGTGTAATAAGTGAGACCATTAATTCTCTACAAGTTAGACTTGATTTCAATAGATAAAATTCATCAAGAAAGTAGCAAATATGGAGAGGAGTAGGGCTGATTTTCAAACGGATTGGATCAAAATTAGGGAATTCTAATTCCAATCCAAAAAAATTTGGCATGAAATTCTTTCCCAATTTTGTTCAAAAAAATTTCAGAATTTCAACATCCATCCCAATTAAGAAAACCCTGAATTTTCTGAATTTTGTTTGAAAATTTCGTAAAAAGGTTTAGGGCCAGTTTGGCATTGCTGTGCGGTGAAAATAATCTCTATCAGATTTGCTGTGAGAGAAATCAGCTGTGAAAGAAAGCAATTTGGCGTTTGGTAAAATTTTTGTTAAAAGTGTTGTTGGAATTGATTTTACACATAATCAGAAAATGATTGCCACATAATTATTAAACTCAGTGCCTCTTCGAAACTGATTTCTACATAATCAGAAAATGAAAGCACCTCATTAGCTGCTTTCCCTTATAGCTTTCTTTCACAGCAATTTTTAACAATAAGTGATTTTTTCACAGTTTACCGAACAGGTTGTGCTTCTCAAAATTTTTTTAAAATCACTTATCACCCTAAATAAGCAATGCCAAACTGGCACTTAAAGTGGCTTAAAATTGAAAAATCATACTACAAAGCTCGAAAAATTATTATAAGCCATTGCTTAAATGTTATTATCCCTAATGAAATAACTCTTCTATGTATATTCAGTCATTAATTTATATTTAGTCAACATGAAATTAGTTATTGTGTGTAGTCTAAGCTTGAAATCCCAATATACAGAATTCGGAATTTTTGGAATCTTGAGATACATTCAAATTCCAATCCAAATTTGTTTTCGGAATTTTTAGATATTGAAATTGATTTGGATTCACCAAAATTTGAAATTTTCGGATTGGAATCGGAATTTCCAATCCAACTTGCACCCCTAGAGAGGATAGAGCAAATGTTAGGGAAATGAAGAAAAGCAGACAAATTAGGCCTGAGAGAAAATCTCAGAGAATTAAGAAGACTATGAATGTTCATTCGACCATTTTGGGTTTGCTGCTCTGATTTTGCAGAGCTGTTTCTTTGTATTATTATTATTATTATTTTATTTATTTATTTATTTATTTAAGCTTAACTTGTTTCCTCTTTTAGGCCATGAAGGCTTCGGTTTTGTTTTTTCGGGTGCTATGTTTTAGAGGTTTTGTCTCTCCTCATCGTTGAAGGTTGCATCTCATCGTCTGGTCTTAACCACTATCATCAGCTCGTTGACTTCATGAATGTATCTTTTGTTGTTCACCCTCGATGGTACTTATGTAGTATGGGATGCCCTTAAAGTGCAAATAGCACTTATTATTTGGATTATGGTAGCACGACTCCTACTAGTTGTAGGGTGGGTGGCTTGCTAACTACCATTTTATGTCAGTTACTGGTTTCTCTTTGGTAGTTGTTGGCTTGCTTTTGTGGCACGGCTTGTGGTTGTTGGATTGTGCAACACATATATGTTATTTGTGTTAGGGTTTCCTAGTGTTATGCTGTTGTTTGTGGGCTTTTGCCATTTGTGGGCTTTTTTCCTTTGTGTGGGCTTAATGCCTTTATGTATGCTTTATGCATTTTGTTAGTTTTATTACTGCAGTGGGCTCTATGCATGTTTGTGTTACATTTGGTGTGAACTCAATTATTTGAGTTCATTTTGATGTAATCAGGCTTTGACTCTCTATTTAATGAAACTCGATTCCGACTAGAAAAAAGAAAAAGAATGCTCATTCAAACACCTCAACACATCACCCAAGGCCAGTTTGGGATTGTTGTGAATTTTTTAAAAAAGTTGTTTCTATTGTGCTTTGAAAATGATTAGCTGTAAAGTAAAACAGCTTCATTTTTGGTAAACAATATTTTTAAAGTGGTGTTATTACAAAAAGAAGTGTAAAAATTGTTTGATAAATTTTAATATAAAATTGATATAACTATGAATAATGACTAAAATAGGCATGATGTTGAAAGTGTTATGCACTAATCATTTGGTTGTAGTGGTGGTGGTGAAAGAGATGGAGGTGAAGGTGGTGGTGAAAGAGGTGGTAGTGGAGGTGATCGTGATGAAGGTGGAGGTGGTGGTTGTGGTATTAGTGGTGGTGGATGGCGGTTGTGGAGATGGAGGTGGTGGTGGTGGTGGAGGTGTAGGTGGTGGTGTTGGAGGTTGAGTAGGTGGTGGTGGCGGCAACGTCGTTGTGGTGGTGAAGGTAGTGGTTGTGGTGGCAATGGCAATGGAGGTGGTGATGGTTGTGGATGTGGAGGTGGAGGTGGTGTCATTTTTAAAATTTAATGATGGTATTTTGGGAAATAAAAAAATTATTAAATGCTCATTTTTGCTTTTGAAAACAGCTTTGAAAGGCAACTCAGAGCATGTTATTAAAAGTTGCTGTCAAAAGGTCACTACTTTTAAAATAATTGGAATACTTTATTTTTACCAAACACCATAAACACTGGCGGATCTAGAAATTTTTTAGCAGAGGTGCAATATTGACTAAGTATGAAAATGGTTTTTCGGAATAATCATTTTCTCAAGATAATTTTTGGCGGCTTTTATTCCTTATACATCAAATAAGAAAACTTGATTTTATGGGATTTTAGTATGAAGTATATATTGACTTAATGAGCCATCATTTTTAGCCTAAACCGTATTTTGCACTAAAACCGAATTTTCATATTTTGATTTGGTCGGAATTTGATTTTCTAGTATTTTTATTTGAATCCAAATGGGGGGTACTTCTTTATTTACATTGTAAACTTAAGTAAATTGAGTAATATAAAAATAAATAAAAGTAAAAAGACAAAGACATTTACTTAAATGTTGAAAATGGAAATAAGGTAATCTGAACACCAGTTGAGCAAAAGGGCAATTTGAAGCACCTACAATAGTTTTTATGGAGAAGGGAGGTGCATCTGCACTTCCTTGCGCCTTAATAGATCCGCCCCTAATCATAAACTACGTAACTTTAAAATGAAGTAGACCTTTGGCAACCAAAAAAAAAATCCCAAACGGGGACTTAGACTAATACCTGAAGCTTTGTCTTTACTTCAATTTTTGTTTGATGTTGTTATTGCTTAGTTTTGGCTTTCAAATAGTTTGGGCTTTCGTCTGGTCGGTCTGTCTTTTATTTCTGCAGGATCGTATTTTCCTGTCTTGTGCCCTCCGTAGGCCTTTCTGGGGCTTTTTAATGAAGTATCTTTTGATCACAAAATAAAACTTAAGTTTGGGCTTTCAACTTTGTTCGTAATCACCGCAGTGCCAAAACTCCTCCTGTTTTGTCTTTTTATTATTATTATTATTATAAAAAGTTTATGAATACCGTTCGTCTCAACTCATCTCTATCTAAACACTTATGTGTTAACCTTATGTATTTATGAGTTTTATTGGCCATGTATGGGCATTCAAGTCTTGTGTTCTTTGTTTCTCTCCATCATGGATCGGGTATTGGGTAGCAATGGAGGCCTTTGTTTCATTCTGCATCTGTGATCCTTTTTCATTTATCATGATATATATTTCATAACCACATAACTACCATTATAAATTAACATATTATGATTTCCATGATTGCACAGAGATTGAACACGATTTATTATTATTATTTATTTCCATAACCAGCATGTCCAAATTATGATGGCAATCATTAATTCCCTAACCATGAAATGAGCATAGTCATTACATCTCAAGAATTATTCTTAAATTTGTAAAATTCAAATTTAATGTAACAACTCTCATAAGTAACACATCCACTTATCTTTCCATAACTATGATGTAGTATTTCTCTTATTGCAACATCAGGACATTTTTCGCAATTTACGTTAGAAATGTCCCTAATACACTCAACCGTACTAAAAACTATAATTTTATCTGAACACATAACGATCCATATGCATACCACAATTTGTGAGAAGCATTATATCTCACTTCAGTGAGCAATTGTCGAGCTTTATTTTGAATCAACACAAGATTGTCAATGAATTTAGGATTCGTCCCATAAATCCCATTATTTGTGTCAAGTATACTAAAGAATTTTTATCAGAATTTTTTAAAGGCATCCTACCATCCAAATTATAGCGCCTCGATTGAGAGCGCAATACTCAAGAAGTTTTATGACAAATCTTCTGAGACATTTTTTGCATGATACATTTCCCTTGTCTTTCATAAGGTAATTCCAAAATTGTCCTAGACTAAAGGTCCCTTTGTGAAAAAAAGAGAAGGACAAAAGACTCAGAAAAATTAATGGTTTTGAACAAAACATGTTCAATATATTAAACTTGGATTCCATTTAATTCTTTCGAACACATACATACATGTGTATGACAATCACAATTATCATGCTTTTATTTAGAAGTATTTGTATTGGTTGTCGTAGTAGAAGTATTTATATTACAATTTCCATTCAATTCTTTAGAAGCTAGCCCTTGTTTTTTGAGAGGAAACGATAGTGATTTATTGATAGAAGGATAACCCAGATTACAGAAAGGTCCAGCAGTACTTCAAACGGGTAGATGAGTTTCTCTATGCGGCAACGAAACGGAGTAGAGAAAAACCCTCACCTTAATAAATTGCTCAGACAAATTAATAGTTACAATCCTTAAACAAAACATCAGAAATAAAATTTGGTGGTTCCTCAAACCAAGTTAGAGATACCCCGTATGCAATGCGAGTCGAGCCATGCGGTGAGCCACGCTATTTGCTGTGCGATGGATGTGGGTAAAACCTTTCCTAGTGATCTGTGACAAAAGCCTCTTGGTGTCTTCCGTAATTGGGCCAATGGTAGACCGATCAATAGAAGAATTCTTGAGGGACATCACCAGAGCCGGTCTCGAGCTCTCAAAGGCCTAGGGCGAAAATCTAAAGTGTGCCAATGTATACACATTAATAACTGAAACTGTAGTTTATTTTTTTAATATACTAAGCATTGATTTTTTTAAGAAAATATTTTTTTAAAGATCTTTTTTAGACTTTGAGCTATGTCTTATTTTTCTTTTTTGTCTTTATCAGATTTCCAGAGTTTAAAATTTTATATTAAACAGAGCTAATGACAATAAAAATCTAAACAATCACCACAAGAAGTTAGAGGCAATAGAAATAAAGAAATTAAAAATATGATCAACCACACTCAAGCATGAAATGTTCAACTCTAATAATTTAACTAATAAACAGAAAACAATATAACATCTGGGTTTGGAGCATATTTTTCCCTTCAAATATAATCACATAAAACTAAACGAAAGTTTTGATACCTCTTCAAAAATCCAAATTGCAAAATTTCAATTAGTACAATCCTTCATTCAATTGTGCTCTCTTCGAGATGGCCAAGACCCATAGAAGAAATACCATTTCGACCGAAAAAAGAGAGAAGAAATACCAGTTCCTTTTTAAAGTATTTTTTTACTTTGGCTTTGACTGCTGGTTGTAGATTGATGAATCAATCACGTTGATTTTGCCCAACAGGTTATCAATTCTTAATTATTATTCTGTTCACTTGACTTTTTATTGAAAAAAGGAGGTGAATTGGTTTTGGTTTCCAACGCCTGACTTAATATGGACTAAGAAAAATTTGTGCCCCATTGTATTTTGGGCCCCGGGCTGTGGCCCTGGTAGCCCTGGGCCAGGGCCGGCTCTGAACATCACGATCTGGAGAGTATCAATCTCAAAAACAATATTTGTAAGACCCCTTTCCTTCGCAAGAATAGTTCCAGCTCTAGCTGCAAGAGCTTCAACCTATACAGCAGAAAAGACATTGTCAACTTCGAGGGCGCAGCCAGCCACGAAAGAGCCACTGCTGTCCAGCACCATGACTCCGACCCCGCCCTCGGTACTATCTGCCTTCCATGGTCCGTCAACATTGGCTTTGAGTAAGCCTTGCGGCGGCTGTTGCCCCCATGTTCACCCAAAGGAGAACTGAACCAAACCCGAGCAGCATAGGGGCAGTCACGCAAGACATGGGATGTTGACTCTGTCGCAGCCCCACACAAAACACAACCGGCCTCTACTTGAATTTTCTTACACCGCAATTCCAGCTCTCCCTCAATTCCTATCTCTGCAACTCCAGCTCTCCCTTAATTCCTATCTCTGCAACTCCAGCTCATCCCATGGATTAATCATTTCAAACGATTTGACGTTGGCCTATTGGTGCATTTTCATTTCATGTTGCAATACATCCTTTAAACCCCAAATGGCAAATGCATAAACCCCAGCAAGTCAGACCCCAACCTAAACCTCAACCTCATGCCAAATCAATCCCAGACCTCCACCACCTGGACATGCATCAAAACGTCGTCGTGTTGGACAACGACGGTGGCCTAATCACAACCGGACTTGGCGGCAAGTGCGACCCCTCAACCATAATCCTCAACTGCGTGTACCACCCACTCTCCTCCAAGAAATGGGTGCACCCTTCACAACCCATGGACCTCACCTCCGCCGCGGTCAGGCGGCCCATCCACCACGGCTACCTAATCAACCTGAATCTCCAGCGCGAGATTTGGGCCCACTGGCGGACCCAATACATGCCTACTGTGGGTAGCTGCCCACACTTGGGTGGTTTCTTCACTCATCTAGCCAAACAATTTGCCAATAAAAATTAGACACTTGGCTAATATTTTGCATGCAAAATCCCCACTCAGCACCCTAAATAAGTAAAGCCTTCAAGGTTTTAGCTCAAAACCTCTTCTATATTGAAAATATCAAGGCCCAAGACTTAATAAACATATGGTCCAATATATAAAGCCTTAGATTTTGGCCCAAAATCATATATTAAAAATGTATTGAAATAGATTATGTATTATAATATATATACAAATTTATAAATAAACCCAATCTTAGACATGTATTTATAAAAAAATCCAAGCACTATTTAAACATAGAAACACACCCAAAATCAATCCCAAAACAACAATTGTATATTTTTTGGGTGTGTTTATAAATGGGTTTTGAGTGTGTGTAATGATGGGTTTTGGGTGTGTTTATAAAGTGTTTTGGGTGTTGAGTTTTTTTATAATTTCAGCCCCCATTTTGGGTGTTTTAGTGAAACTCCCTAATATATATCGTATTGCTATGAAAACCTAGACTTTGTAGGAGTCAGCTATGAAATTATTTTTATGCCCCCAGATGGAAAAAAGTCTGGGTCCGCCACTGTCTAGGCCAACCTCTTCTCCTCCCTTAGCTTGGCGAGAGAGAGAGAGAGAGAGAGAGGAGAGAGAGAGAGAGAGAGAGAGAGAGAGAGAGAGAGAGAGGAGAGAGAGAGAGAGAGAGAGAGAGAGAGGATGATGAGATGGTGGTGGGGGAATTGGAATGGGGGTTGGGGACGATGATTTGATTTTTCTATCTTTTTTTGTGTGTGTTGGTTTTTTATTTGATTTTCTTTTAGAGATATTTAGTTATATATTTATTATTAGCACTAATACTATAGATAAACCATATACCATTTAATTTCTATAAACAAACCAAAAAAAAATTCAAAAAGTGACAGCTGACCCTATTAAATTTAATTTTGATTATTAAATTACTTTGATACCTTATTGAGTGTTGGGTTTTTTTTATTATAAGGTTTTGGGGTTGACTTTGTTTTAAGAAATCGATGGCCGTTTTGTAATTTATAAGAAGTCTAAAGCCTTTTTGTTATGTTGTAAGAAAAAACAACATGAGAAAATTTTAGTTACTACGGGGATAACACTATTTTGCTATCTTCGGCCAAGAATGCTACGTCACGTGGAAGTGTTATAACCCGTGTGACCTGTCATTGCGTTATTGACCGGGATAGCAAAATCATACTATCCCCGTTTGATAGAAGTTTTTCTCCTGAGAGTGGGATGAAACTGCAGTCAATTCTATAATTATATAGCCAGCTACTCACATTAGGTGGCTAGCTAGGCCCATTGCTGGATTGTTCTTGAAGTAGCGACGTGCTCTGGTTTTTTAGTACTGGAATTTTCCTTGGAGGAAAAAGGTTGTCCTTTCGAAAGGACCATGATGAAGGAGGATGACAGCTCTCAAAAGGTAGATACTAGATATGGTATCTACTCTCTTCCTTGGCAATTGTTACATAATTAAAGAGCTTTCTCTTATATTGTTCTTGTTCTCTGTTATTCTCAGTAAATTAACAAAAAAAGAAAAACAGAACTCTCTCTATTTCCTTGCTAAGATTCAACAGATTTTAAAGGTTGGTTATGTTTTTCTTTTATTTTTTTAAATTTTTTTAATTATTATGATATTGTTTTTGACACTTTTCATGTAGCCATTTCCACTCCAAACTGATTCTGATTGTATGATTGTTTTCTATGGAGTGCATATATCATTTAGGCACTGCAATATAAGAATAATAGATTATTTGGCACATAGAAACCTGCAATGGCTTTTTAACTTTGTTACAATGTGGTTCCATCATTAGAGTTTCTGTTAGATCTTGTTGTTAGTTGCCTACGTGGCATTATGAGTCCCACATTTTTATTTTGTTATTTATTTTAAATTGATTAAAATAAAATTATTATTTTTTTGGAAAAAAATTCCCTCGAACAAACTGGAAACCCTCCCACCCGGGACATTTTTTCTCCCTCGATTCTCCATGACCACCACCACCCACAAGCTCCAATTCTCAAACAAACCCAGAACCACCTTGGGCCCCCTACCCCAAAACCCATCAACCCCCACCCAAGCCCAAATTTTTTCTCCACCCACAGTCACAAACACCTCCCCCCTCCCTCGATTCTTCTCCGCTCTCCCGCCTTTCCCCTCGCAACCCACCCAGACCCATCGCCCTTCTCCCTTTGGTTTTTTTCCCAACCCCCAGCCCCAATACCCATTCCCCTCTTCTCCGACTCGTGCCCATTCTCGCCTCCTTTCCCCATCGCAACCCATCCATTCCCCAAACCCATCCTTGTATAGTCTAAAATATCGATAATATCGACGAAATATTGAGGATATTATCGTTTTTTGGCATCAAGGATATTTCGAAACGTATCCATGCACATATCGTATAAATATCGAGAATATCGACGATAATATCGGAAAATATCGACGTCGATCGATAATTTCACTCACACTTCATCAATATTTTGTTACAATATCGCTATAATATCGAAAATATCGATGTAATGAAAAAAAAAGGGAAAAAAAAAGGGGAAAAAAACACAAAGGGGATTCAAGGTGTTTCCTCTTGTAAAATTAGTCATCCTTGATTTGCTTTGTATTGTGGTGTCCAAGTGGTAAGTTCTTTTTTCTTTTGAATATTGAGACATGGATAGGCAAGGAATGATGGACCTTACATTTCTTACTTTGACAAAGTACACACATGTATATCATTAATTTTTTTTTTTGGGACGTATAAAAATGAGACCCTTGAAACCAATTTCTTCTTTGTATAAACATGGGAGCCATTCTGCACTGTTTACCGTTGCTGCTTTTAAAGTGAGGTCCTAAGAGGGAAGAATGTCGTTTCTAGTATTAACACAAACACTTTTTGCAAGTATAAAATTTTTACTTGAGAATGAATCTTTGACCTTCCCCTTTGGATGGCATGTTAACAATTACATGCAAAACTATTTTGGGGATTTATCATTTGATGACTACTCTTCACAATACACTTACTCTACATATAGAGATGATGAAGATAATGAAAAATTTGAACCTCATAGGAACTTTATGTGGTACTAAGTCACTTATGTATCTTACCATGCAATGTATAAAATGTAAAATATTTTAGTAAATCATTATATTTAAATGATTGTGGTGTGTTTAATTTTCTTTCATTAATTACTACATATTTCCTACACTTACAGTGTTTGTCAGCTCGCTATATAATCAACTTAAATTAGTTAAATCCATCATGCAATGCATTTCCTTCCAATTTTTTGTGATAAACTAATAGATAATTGACTAAATAAGCATCCTCCAAAGTTTCAATAAAAATTTCCAAGTTTTTCTTACAATTTCCGTGGTTTTTATTCAATTTTTATCGATATCGATAATATCATGATATTTCCATTGAAATTTCCGTGTTTTTGGACTACCGATATTTCCGATATTTTAGACCTTGCTTGTAACCGAGAACCTATCCCCTCACACACGCATAGAGAGAGAGAGAGAGAGAGAGAGAGAGAGAGAGAGAGAGAGAGAAGGGGATTTGGGGTTTGGAATTTGGAAGAGAGGTCACGGACTAGAATTAGTCGATGGAGGCTAGAGAGAAGAAACATAGTGAAGGGGAAAGGCATGGGCTTTTTTTTTCCTCTTTTTTTTTATAAAAAATATATATTTTATAAAAAAAATTCTTATTTTTTAAATATTTTATTCATATTGTAATCAAGTTTTTTTAAATGTGGGGTCCATAGTACCACGTAGACAACTAACAGTGAGATCTAACAGAAATCTTAACGGTGGAACCACATTGTCATTAACTGTTTTGTTTGCGCAAGAACTTCTAGTCTTTTGAACTCTAATGGTGTGTTTACTAATTAGGAATTGGAATTCTCATCCGGAATTGAATTCCAATTATGGAGGATTACTACGTTTACTTTACATCAAGGAATTGATAAAATAAATGGGACCCACACAAAATTAAGAATTGAATTCCTGATTTTGAAGGAATTCAATTCTTGGGTGGGAGGTGGTACATTCCTGGAGAAGTAACCCATTAGGAATTCATCTTTTTTTTTTTTAATCCATTATATCCTCACACAATTTTCAAAATTCCAAATATGCTATCCACTTTAACCCAACAAGAAGGACATTTTAGTAATTAGTATTACTCTTACCCCAATTTCATATGGTTTAGTAAACAACTTTAATAGGAATCTGGAATCTAACTCCCCTCAATCCATATGGTTTAGTAAACAACTTCATTAGGAATCCGGAATCTAATTATCCTGAATCCAACTCCTCCTCAATTCAATTCATCCTCAATTCAATTCATTCTAATCAAATTACAAATTAGTAAACATGCCATAAGTGTACAAGTACATAGAAGACAAAGATAATATTTGTCACTTACATTATAGTTGTTGGAGCGGAAAATTTCGGATCCTCCAACAAATAATATTGTATTCTATGTTGAGAAGCCGGATACTATCTTTGATTGTCATCAGCCAGTGAGGAGGGGTATACTAGCAAGAAAATACTCTGACGCTCACATCAATGTTCGTTCAAGAATATTGTAGTAGAATCAATCATACCTCCCTTCCCTTAGGTTGGGAAATTAGTTGGCCTTTTATAGGTATTGAACCCTTAGACTCCAAGTCCCATATTCCTTATTTATCTCCATATTCTATAGTAGTAGATGTCATGTTATTTGATTTCCTCCACTCTCTCAAATTTGAGGTTCATGAGAAGTGACTTGTTATTTGGGCCTTAATTTTTCTCCAAAATAGCATTAAAATTTATTCACAAGACCGAGAATTGAAAACCACACATTCCAAGAAAATTCAACACGACAGATAGCCAATCAAAACGCGTAAAACCCCCCTATTTCAGCGCATGTATCTTCCAATATAAAAAAGAAAAATGATTTGGCTGTATACTGAATCTTTCTTCTGTTTAGTCATTCTACTTTTCTCATAATAAAACAACATAAACGCTGCAATGATTGTTTAATATTACAACTTAATTACATAATTTTTTTATCTATTCAAAATTAATGCGTAAGCAATGACCGTGTCCTGTATTGACAGTATTGGCTTTTAGTACCCCTGCAGCTGTGAGGGTGAATCAATCATCCGACCACCTCATTCCTACATAAGTTCTTGGTCTTCCCAGAAGCACTTGACCTTATTGTCTGCTGAACGTTAAAATTTGAAAGCCGCCCCTCCTCCTAATACTAGTAGTGAGTAATTATATAGCGAAAACAAAAACATTTACTCCCCTTCATATATAAAAAGCCAAACTCTCTGATTAATAATTCTGTGCTCTCTCTGGACATTGCAGCCCAACCAATTATAAAACAAGTGCTGCAAGGAGTTGCAGAATGCCAGGCAACAGTGCACTAGTGGAGGCGGAGGTTCCTTTGTTGGATGATTTACCTTCAACCGTCCAATCAAAACATGAACACAGTGATGATGAAGATCAAGGCACTCTTGCAAGGAGATTTTGGATTGAGTCAAAGAAGTTGTGGCACATAGTTGGTCCAGCAATCTTTAGCCGTGTTGCGTCTTATTCCATGCTGGTTATAACTCAAGCCTTTGCTGGTCATCTTGGTGACCTTGAGCTTGCTGCAATCTCCATTGCCAATAATGTCATAGTTGGTTTTGATTTTGGTCTCTTGGTATTTTACTCTATCCCTTCTGCTATTATATTTTGGAGAGTGAATGTTTTCCTACTAAATATGTCGCATGTTATGTTATCAGATTGTCGAATGTTCAAATCTCTTATGTAGCTTTTTTGTTCTAAGTTATGTTCTCTACTTTGTGTTGCCAGTTGGGGATGGCAAGTGCTTTAGAAACACTATGTGGGCAAGCTTATGGAGCCAAGAAGTACTATATGCTTGGAGTTTACATGCAAAGATCATGGATTGTTTTGTTCTTGTGCTGTATTCTGCTTTTGCCAATCTATCTGTTTGCCTCTCCATTTCTAAAGCTTTTGGGGCAACCCACAGAAGTAGCAGAGCTATCTGGGATTGTGGCCATGACCATGATTCCACTTCACTTCAGCTTTGCTTTTCAGTTCCCATTGCAGAGGTTCTTACAGAGCCAGCTGAAGACAGGTGTGATTGCTTGGGTGTCTCTGCTTGCTCTTGCAGTGCATGTGTTTGTGAGCTGGTTTTTTGTGTATAGGCTTCACTTTGGTGTGATTGGTACTGCAATTACCATAAACTTTTCTTGGTGGGTTTTGGTGTTTGGGCTTCTGGGTTACACTATTTGTGGTGGTTGCCCCTTGACTTGGGCTGGTTTCTCCATGGAAGCTTTTTCTGGTCTCTGGGAATTTACTAAACTCTCTGCTGCTTCTGGTGTCATGCTCTGGTACTCTCTCTCTCTCTCTCTCTCTCTTCCATTCTCCATTTGGTTAATTAGTGACATTAATCTAACAATTAATTATGTCTAATTTGCTGTTGAAATTACAGCCTGGAGAATTGGTACTATAGAATACTGATCTTGATGACTGGGAATCTACAGAATGCAGAGATTGCTGTGGATGCTTTGTCTATATGGTAATAACAGTACATTAAAATTTCTTTTTTCCCATGTCCAATGGTCGAAAACAATAATGCACTTATCAGTTCTCTAGGTGCGACTAACATCTACGTGTACAAATAAGCTCTGCACATTATTGAAATAGAATTAAGTGTCCTACCTGCCAAAAGAAATAAAGACTGATTTGTCTTTTTTTGCTTGGCAGCATGACGATCAATGGCTGGGAGATGATGATTCCTCTGGCTTTTTTCGCAGGAACTGGGTAAAACCTCCTCACTACCTTTACATTTCTCTGTCGTTTTCTTCTATATTCTTGTGGTTCTTACTGGTGGGTCCCAAACAGACCAATCGTGTCCTACCAAATTCCCAAATACCATCTCTCTCATGATCTCAGAAAACTTTTTCTTTGCTATAAAAATAAAATAATCAATGTATAAAAAGTATCACTGAATATTGAGAGTGGAATTATATTTGCTCTTCTAGTGTTTATACTGACATAATTTTCTCTCAAATAGAACTCATTAACACTCAGATTTCACACTCTCTCTTCCTTTTTTCTCTTCCTTTCTTTCATCTCTTCTCTGTTGGTGTATTTTGCTAAGCAATGGGAAGCCTATTTATAAGCAAATTGGATAGCTTCCAACATCATCCTTAAGCTTTTTGAATATTATTTTCTTCTTTTCTTTATATAGGCTCCACCAATTTCTTTACAACATTCTTTAACTTTCCCAGATTAATGTTGTCTAATTTTCATATGAATATGCATGTGAACTCATTTTTGTATGCAAAACTTTGGTTTAGATTAAAAAATAAGAAAGAAGTTTCTCACACATACGTATACGGTATATTCATATTACCACGGTACAATAGGGAAACCTAGACCCGATGACTCCTCTCTTATTTTTATATATATAAAAAGACAAGAAAACATTATTATTAATGATAACTGTTAAGAGGACCACGAGTAGGATGGGCTTTGAGGTCACAATTTCATATTAGAAGCTAATCATTTGAAGAGCGTTTGGACCAATTTGGTCCATAAAATAATGTGAGGCCTTCTCTTATTGTAGCCATCCAAGCCAAGATTTAAAGAGCGTAGCGCCTCATATGAACTAAGACGTGACAGGACAAATACATAGAACAAAACGTGTATCTGTCAGATTGTCTTTATGTTTATAATATAACTACCCAGTAGGAAACTTCAATTTTGCTTCCATTAATTAGCGTTATCTGTTAGATTGTCAAAACATACACACCTCAATTTTTTCTCTGGTGCCTATTCGAATTTTATTTTGATCATGTACTTCCACCGCATGGTCAGAAATCGTAAGCTATTTTATCTTGTTATTCTTTGTTTTTGTTTTATATGGTAGGCCACATGAAAATAGCTTTGCTCCTATTTTAAGGTCTTATTATTATGTTGGTTTAGGGAATGTTTGAGAAAGGGTTAAAATTGCTTTTGACAGTATTTAATAGAAAAATTTATAAGTGCTTTTGAGCCATAAAAGTATGTTACGGTGAAACACTTGGATTTCTTATGAAAATTTCAATATTTTTATAATAAAAATGTTTTTTTTTTAAATGCTTATAAGCATACGTGCTTCTTAGATAAATAATCCCAAACGGGCCCTTAATATCTTAAAATTATATTGTTTGGAATTTATGGTCAGCATTTAAAATTTATAGAATTTACTAAAAATATAATTAAATATTAAGTTGTAATTATGAACTTTCAAAATTTACCATACAACTTTAAAATAAGTGGTGACTTGTTAGTCCAGTCAAATCAATATGAAGATACGTCAAAAGACGTCTTTTCTTTTATTAAAAATTTGGGCAACTTTTGTGGAATGTCTGGCTGTTTGCTCCACTTTAGTTGAAGGTGAGTAGGTTTAAGACTTAAGCACGTGAAGCTTAATCACATAAACAAAAGATATGTTGGCCAAAGTCCTGCTATGATGCATTGACGAATATATAGGTTTGTAGGATCACACATTTGTTATTTTATATTTTTGGCCTATAAAATTAGTTTTTGAAGTTATTCTTCTGTATGTATCTGTATGTCTATTTCTTTTTTCGTGTTAGAATTACTAAACTTTTGAGAATTAAATGAAGATATTTTTTCGTGTTTTAAAAATGTGATTTAGATGAACGACATGATTTGTAATTATAGAGTACTAGAATAATTTTACTTGGTGGGGTAGAAAAAAGGAGGTAAACAACTTTAATTCAACTACGTCTATTATATTTGGTCCAATCCATTTCATGGAATAAAGTACAAATATATCACTTCTTGAAGTAAAATAAACGTTGGGTAGCTGCTCATGATGATCATCTGTCCATGGTGATCATCTGTTCATGATGATCATCTATGTGATGTGTTTGACTCTTATTGTTCTTTAGGATTTTTCTGCGGGCTCTTCCCCATGGATAAGTATCATCATTGGAGTCCCAACAATTGCAATTTCAGACGCAGTCTATGATATGTTTGTGATGTGTGATCCTGTCTTTTTCTTCGTCTATTTATTTTTGTTCTTCTTTCTAATTCAACATTATCACGTTTGACAATTTTAAGAACCAATCCAAGATAGCGACCATTGAGCTTGGATGGATATTGAACGAAAATTGGTTTTGTAATTAAAATTGGTAAGTGCAAAAACGTGAGTTAGGCTAACTGGTCAGGACAGTGAGTCTCTTACACCGAAGTTCGAATCTCCTCCCCGTAAATTGGATTAGTTAAAAGTAGTTTAGACTATTGCATATATAAAACAAATGGAAAAGTTTATTATTTCTAACTACAATTTGTGTTGCTAATTAATGCTTTGTGATGGAAATCAACAGAGTGAGGGTTGCAAATGAGCTTGGAGCTGGGAATGGGAAGAGAGCCAAGTTTGCCACCAAAGTGGCAGTTGTTACATCAATTATAATTGGCCTCTTCTTCTGGCTCCTGATCATGATGTTCCACAAAGAGGTCGGCTATATATTTACAAATAGTGAAGCTGTACTTACTGAAGTCAGTAGCCTTTCCCTCCTATTAGCCTTCACAATTCTCCTCAACAGTGTTCAACCAGTTCTCTCTGGTAATGTTAATGTTCCCCTATCCAATTACCTTTCAACATCATTTTTTTTTTCGCTTTCAAGTTTTAAAATTGATATTTTCTGACAGATTTATTTGGTTTATCTTTTTTTTTTGGTTAACAGGAGTAGCTGTGGGGTCCGGTTGGCAATCTTATGTGGCATACATAAACTTGGGTTGCTATTATCTCATTGGGGTTCCTCTTGGGTTTTTAATGGGATGGGTTTTCCACCAAGGAGTTATGGTACGTATTATATTGTCTCATTGGGGTTCTTCTTGGGTTTACATTTGTCAATTTCTTTTAATTTTTTCTGTTCTTATTGCATGGCATTTGTTTTTGGCATGCATAATTCTATTGTGGACTGACATTTGGTGATAAAATGAACACGATTAGGGAATTTGGGCTGGAATGATCTTTGGAGGGACCGCAGTCCAAACCTTGATATTGGCCATTATCACCATTCGATGCGACTGGGAAAAAGAGGTAGAGGCTATGGAATTTCATATCATTACTTAGTTTTTGTTAATTGTGATTTTATACTTTGCGTATACAAAATTGATCATTATATTTCTATGTTGGGCTAATTTTGCAGGCAGAGAAAGCAACCATGCACATATTGAAGTGGACAGACAAAAAATAGCAAAAACATTTATATTCATAAGAAAAATGCTATGCCAACCTCTATTAAGGAGGTGATACACAATCTGGTATATAAATGTAGGCATGCTTAGTATTTCTCTTATGAATATAATATAGGGATTTCAACTCATATTTTAAAACTAAATTGTCACAGCAGAATGTTAACAAGACAAATATTAAGATTGTATGGATAGAAAGAAGAGAAAGAGAAATTCTTTTCTGCAACAGCTATATTCGATATGCTATTTGCCATTCTTGTTGATGAATCCTCTGACATGTCTTCAAAGAAGCAAATGATCATTGTACTACGTTATGTGGATAAATGTTATGTAATTGAGCACTTTGTAACTATTGTGTATGTTATAAATATATACTAAATCTTCCTCACTCAAGTTAGTCGTGGATGATTTCTTTTTGAGACATGAATTAAGCATCTCTAGGTTGAGAGGGCACGGTTATGATGGGGGAAGTACTATGCAAAGTGAGTCTAATGGTCTTAAAACACTCATTCTAAATGAGAATGAATATGTTTTTATTTTATTTTAATTGCTTTGCTCATCAACTTCAACTAGCTCTGGTAGCTGTTGCAAAGAAACATTCAAAAATTACTGATATATTTACTATGGTTTCTAATGTGGTGAATGTTGTGAGTGCATAAGCTAAGCATCATGATATGCTAAGAGATAAAAAAAAAAGATCAGGTTCATCCTTTGGTATATTTGGTTCTCACACTAGCACGAGTCCTACCTGTTGCAACCGCAAGTGTAGAGCGAGTATTTTCTGCTATGTTGCATATATTGAGAAAGACATTTTTAATAGTATAGATGATGAGGCTAATATATAAAGATTTCAAAATATGAAAACTCATCAAGAACAACTATATGCTATCTCTACTCGCTAGAACTTCTATAAAAGGAAAATTCTTGGCTCTCCAGCGTGCCCAATTGGTGGATGGGAGGTGGAAATTGTCGAGCACCTATTGCTCTTATGCTCGTGGACTAATGTTGTGTGGTTTGGTCCTCCTTCGAGCTATAGAGTTGATATGCGGGGCTTTTCTTCTGTAGACAGATGGCTCATGGGAGTTATTAATTTTCTGGGCATTAGCAAGCGAGACTCAACTTCTGCTTATAAGTATTAGCTTCATATGCTGGGAAATATGGAAGACTTGGTGCAATTTTATCTTCAAGGGCAGCCAAATTGATCCCTATCTCACTATTAATCAAGCAATGCAGACCTGCATGGAATATTTAGATGCTAAGGCTAGACCGCCTGTGCCTTTTGTGGCAGGCCAGCCTCAGCTGATCAAATTAGGACTGCTCAAATTTGGAGACCTCCAATGCCAAATTTTGTGAAATTATGGCGCGTGGAAAAATGATTCTCATTTTGCAGGGCTAGGGGTGATTGCTACAGATGAATTGGGATCCTTTTGTGGCGGATTAGCATCCCCTTACCAATGCAACTCGGCTCTGGTGGGTGAGGAGGCTGCTAGCCTCTGCAATCAAATTCGCTTTAAACAGAAATTTCATTGATATTATTCTCGAGATGAATTCGAAGATCCTTGTGGATGGTATAAGTGGAGTAAACAATGGGCTATGGACAATTCAACCTGTGCTGGATGATTTCAAAAAGCTTTCTACTGACTTCAGATCGGGCCTTTGGAGCCAAGGGAATTGAACCGCACAGCGCACAAGGCTGTAGCGATTGGTATCAGAGCGAAGCAACTGGAAAGTTGGGCTGTTAGGCCACCACCGTCTCTAGTGGGTGTTTTGCTGTTGGATGGCATTCCTTGCCCTCCATGGGGGACTACTTAATTGTTTTCAGTATGCTGTATGTGGCTTGGGCTAATATCCTAGGCTCTTTGTTTTGAGCTTAGTATAGCGGCTATAGCCCTTGTCTCTGTGTTTGGTTCAATTTCAAGTTCTTAGCTGCATTTATTGAATCCTTAGTAATCAAGAGTAGAGAAGGAAGAATGTCTAATACGGTTGGGCAGGCCATAGGCTGCTGAGGTATTATAGTCCAACCAACCATATATATATTCTACAATCAATATTCTCCGACAATCATCATGAAAGCAAGAAAGTAAAAGTCAAAAGTAAGAATAATGCTTTAGTAAAAGCAAAAGCAGAAGACCCGTGCTTCAATAGTAAAATTCTAAGCATCCAATGTTGCCGACACCTTCTGATTTGGCCCTTTAAATAGAAGCTTTGGCTTCAGTTGTAAACAAGTTGTAATTTCCCTTCAGTCTTTCAAAGTTTTCTCTGAGACTCCCTCAAGAAAACTATCATTGTAAATTATGAGTGCTATCTATCAATAAAATCTTTCAATCAAGATTTTCTCTAAGTTTGCGATTTCATTTCAAATATTTATGTTTTCAATTACGCATATTTTATTTATTCATTACTTTCATTTATGCATTATTTTCGCATATTCTATTATCTCTGCTTCATTACTATCACAGTTAACTTGTCCTTCTGGTATCAGAGCTGTAAGTGTTGAAGAGTCATTCTAAATTTGCTTCTCTGTGTTCAAAGTCATTGGGATGTGTTTGAAGTTTGCTTTTATTTTGTAACTTTTTCAAGTGAGGCATGAGCGGATGCGGCATGTTTTGAGAGAGAGAGAACCCTTTAGTTCCCAGAAACCTTTGAGCCTGTTATAAGATAGGTAGCCTTCCTTCTTACCCACTGTAAGAAAACCAGTATTCTTGTCCAGATGAGTCGTTTATTTAGAACGAACTCTTGTAATTCTAGCAGTTTTAGAGCCAGTATTAGTAAACTCCTAGAGATAGTAAACGAAGAACAAATAGAATATGATTCTAGTAATGAAATAGATTATAAAGATTGGAATATACCCAAAATTCCTAGTCAAGAAATTTATAAGAAAAAATGGTCACTCTCAAGCTTGAAGTCCACCACGCATGTGAAAACAGTCGAACAAGTTTATGGCTTTAGCAAAGAACATGAAACATGCCAATTGTTAAACCTTGAGTCTATAAAAAAGCATAAGAATGACGGAAACAATTTCCATCATATAGGTATAGTCCAAGTTGCAGTCAAACCTCTTACAAGATTAGGACTAAATGCCTCTATTTTACTTTGTCTACGCGATGCTAGATTTACCATCTTCAATGATAGTACTTTAGGTATAATTGAATCAAGCTTGTTTAATGGTCCAATTCATTTCAATTGTTACCCAGATTTTACAGTCAGTCTCAGTGATCCCCATATTCTCAAGACATTAACATTAAATATTAAAACTTCTAGATATAAAGTCCTACCATGTACCCAACCATTAGCCCTAGTTTATAGAATTTATTATAAAGTCACAAGCACAAACATGATTTTCCAAGCCCTTATAATAAAAGTCCAAAAGATCAAACCTTGCTTATTCAAAGTAGTAAAGCCGATGCCAACATAAGAGTTCCTCACATAATCAAATGGTCAGAAGTCACTCTACCTTTAGATTGGACACTAACCATAGAAAATCAACCTGCTCCTATTCAACATAGTTTAAATAATTTAGATTATATTTAGCAATATTTAGATGGTACAGTCAAAATTAATTTTGGAAATCAAGCCCCTCAAAAATCTTCAGTCCAACTACACCAACTTCCTACGCCTAGTCAATCCCAGAGACATGCTTCTGCTAGACACTCCTTCACTGCTTCCTCCTCTACTCTAAAACGAGACCTAGAGTTAGAAAAAACTTTAATTGATTTAAAATTAGAATCCTTAAGAAGACTTCCCAGGTTAACCACCCTTGTTATGGTAAAAAGCCAGTAAAGGAAGATACAAAATCAGAGTCCCCAAATTCCCCCATACAAACTGACTTCGAAGCCAGTTCTTTTATCATAGATAATCAACTACGCACCCTTAACAAAGAATTCAAAATCCATTGGAAAGTCTAAGATAATCATTTAAATGCCCCTGAGAATCTAGAAAGAAGAGACAATTACCATACAGCCTACAGCGACAACAAATTTTTAATGAATGGAAAAATTTCATGCGAACCACCAAGTCAGAAATATTCTACCTTGATTTTGTTGACACTCACTACATGCCGAAAGAGTTAAAAACTTAACACAAGAAAAATGGAAGACAAAAGATAACACTGAAGTCATAGCTAGTCATCCCCCAGTAGAAACAATAATTATTGGACATAAAAATGCTAGGGTCTCAACTAGTCCCTTTAAAATACCTGAACAAAATGATAAAAAATTAGTTGAGCAAAGTAATTATACGAACCAGAGTCTAATAGTAATTGGAAAACAACTAGACAAGATAGAAACCAAGATTAACAAAATATTTCCCCAACAGATGTCCCTTATGGAAAAGATTGAAGAAATGCTCAAACAATTAACCCCAGTAAAATCAAAACCCGACACCTCTAGTATCAAAGTCTTAGAATCCCCCTTTCTCATTAATTCTTCAGACAATGAATCTGTTACTAGTAATGAAACAAACTCTAGTCATATATCAAAAATTGAAAATGCTTTTAAAAATCTAGAAATAGATAATGATCTCAAACTCAATCGATTAAGAAACAACGTCAATCCTACTAACCTAACCAAAAATTGGTATCCTAGGCCAACTCCTTCGGATATCCAGTTTGAAGAAAGAAATTCCCAGAGTCAATTCTTAGTTTCTTCAGATAAGCTTTATGAATGGAATATAGATGGTTTGTCAGAACAAGAAATTTTAAACAAGTTAACGCACATGTCCATGGTCGCCAACAGTTACATAACCAATCATGGTCTTAGGCAGTCAGAAATCGTCCCCCTATTAGAACAGGATTCACTGGAACCTTGCGTTCCTGATGGGATAAACATTTAACTGAAGAATCAAAACAACAAATAATTCATGCAATCAAACTAAATGAAGAAGGTCTCCCCATTTTTGATGAGCAATTAGGAAGAGGAATAGAAGACAAAGTCAACACCTTGTTATACACAATAATTGAACATTTCATAGGAATACCCAGTAACACAATAGCCAGAATTCATGATCAACTTAGTAATCTCAGATGCCCCAAACTAAGTGATTTTAGATGGTATAAAGATATTTTCATTTCCAAAGTCATGCTTAGAGACGATAGTAATCAGCCTTTTTGGAAAGAAAAATTCATTAATGGTCTCCCTAATCTGTTTGGCCATAAGATACGTACAGTCTTAAGTAATGATCAAGGCCATATAGATTTTGATAATTTAACTTATGGAAATATTATTAGTGTAGGAATGAAGTTTTCTCTGAGACTCCCTCAAGAAAACTATCATTGTAAATTATGAGTGCTATCTATCAATAAAATCTTTCAATCAAGATTTTCTGTAAGTTTGCGATTTCATTTCAAATATTTATGTTTTCAATTACGCATATTTTATTTATTCATTACTTTCATTTATGCATTATTTTCACATATTCTATTATCTCTGCTTCATTACTATCACAGTTAACTCGTCCTTCTGGTTCTAGATCCCTTATATATATAGAATAGACTTCAAATTTTGCAGTCAGAATATGATGACTTGTCCATTATGTTTCTTTTTTTTTTTTTTTTTTTTTTTTTATGAGATTTTATATATTTTTTCTTTTCTTTGTTTGGTTTTCTATATTCCACGGACAGAACCCCTTGTTTCCTAGAATTTATGGTCATAAGGCAGGGGTACGTAAATTTCCGAAAACTTGTTACAAATTTATAATTCGTTGTGTTAAGTGGTTATGATAAGTACACGTACTTTTTTTTTATATAAAAAGATAAACTTCATTGACCGATAATATCATCAAATACAATCACTAAAGGGAGAAAAGAAAAAAAAACTAGGGAGCATGACAGTGATCTCATTAAAATTTTACCTTAAAAAACCCCCAAAAATGAAGAAAATTCGAGAAAAAAAAGTACCACAACTTCTCTCTACTTCCTAAGACAATTAAGTCTCACCATCTGTCTTTGTCTATCAAAGGAACCAGCCAAGGCGGCACGACATCTTCCCGTACAAAATACTGCCCATGGTGCAACTCAAATTGAGCCAGTGCATGAGATACTCCATTTCCTTGTCTAGGTTGATATATCCCTTTCAGGACATCTAGTTGTGCCAATAATCTTATAAGATCCTCCACCAGGTTTCCCACATTACTACACCAATCCCCTGACCCACCAACGTTTGCACCATTTCTTTCGAATCAGAGGCAAGAATAAAATGATGGTAACCTCTTAATAACTCCAGCAGCCCCACTCTGGCCGCCACTAGCTTAGTCCCTAACACATCAAGACCCAAAGTTCCAGCACCCGCAAAACCAAAAACAATAACTCCATGATGATCGCGAAGGCATCTTCCAATTCCTCTTTGTCTCCCCTCCTGACTGATTGCCCCATCACAATTTAGAATGAGTCTGATAAGGCGGCTTAATCCACCGTATATGTTTAGGTTCCTTTGCTGGTTTTAATCTAGCATTACTATCTATCCTTATAGCTCCCATACAAATCCAGGCCCTTTCTACCTCTTCCTCTAAAACACTACCAGGTTTCCCATACAAAAAATTAGTTAGTTGTTTAGAAACCGAGTCAAAAAAATCGGCAAAAGTATCTGAATCCACGTTGTTTTTTTAAAATCAAAGATAGGAAGATATATTAGATGCGAATAGAACAGTTTACATCATGGGCAAGGCAATTAAACAGCCATTCAGGACACACAACATCCCAGCTATGCCTGCCACCAGTACGAGAAACATGAGCTGCCACTTTGTGAGCAGCTTGGTTGCAAATCCTTGGAGCATACAAAAACTCCACTTGGTCAGCCTGTTGAGTCAAACATTGAATATCAAATAGAATACCTTCAATCTCCAAATCCACCGCACCCTCCTTCTTGAGCATTTTAATCAAGCTAAGTGAGTCAGTTTCCACCGCCACCTTGACAAACCCAAACTCCAGACACCGGATTAAAGCTTCCCGCACCGCCTCTGCCTCCGCCATTAGTGCAGAGACACAGCGCATGTCCCCAGAGCCTCCCGCACTAATAAAACAGCCTGTGCCATCCCTGAGCACCCACCCCACCCCTCCTCTTCCTGTTTGAGCCACCCATGCCCCATCGCAATTAAGCTTGACGAAACCCGGAGGAGGGCAAGACCAGACAGAACCAGCCTCACCAACAGATCCAGGAGGCACACCCCGCTGTTGCAGTTGTGTTTGCCCCGCCGCTTGCACCTCAGTGAACTCATCCACCTGTTTCAACAACAAGGCCACCGCATCACAGGGTTGTACCAAGACCCCAGTGAAGACCAAGGCATTTCGACACTTCCAAATTCTCCATAACACAAAAGCCACCAGTTGTAGAACTTCCGCTAAACGCCCCCGGGGTTCATACAGAGCTAGCAACGCCATCCAGCAAGCCAAAAAATCCCTAGTTCCTAGTGTCCTGACATCAAGTCGTAAGGGACTCGCAAACCATATTGCTCGGGCAAAATCACAATGAAAAAAGAGGTGTTCTTGCGTTTAATCCTCATGATCACAGAAAGCACATCCATTGTCCACTGGCACCCGTCTCTTTTTCAAATGGTGTCGCACAACCAGAGCATTCCGGCAAGCCTTCCAGACGAACGTGCGAATTTTAGGAGGGATGCGCAATCGCCAGATTCCTTTCCAAATAGCAGCTTGGTTGGACTGCCTGCTACCTTCCCCATCCCCTTTAACGCCTAATTCCCCATTCCGTTTCAAATACAACGCAAGATCATATCCAGACCGTACCGTGTAAACTCCTTGCTTGTGAAAGTGCCACATCAATCTATCGGGGCAGCCCCACCGACTGATTGGCATGCTTGTAATCAACCGAGCTTCATTCGGATAAAAAAGCCTTGAGATTAGATCGCACCTCCATATCTTCAACTCAGAATCAATTAGGTCAGCCACGGTCAAGGGTAGGTCAGGATGTCGTGAACTCGTCTTAAAAGTGTGAGGCGTTGGTATCCATGGGTCCTCTGAGACCTGAATGCTTTCTCCATTCCCCACCCGCCAACGCAGACCAGCCAGTAATATCCGTCTCCCCTGCATGAGCCCTCGCCATCCCCAAGACACTTTCCTCCCAACCCTGGCCTCCAGAAAACCCACACCTGGATGATATTTATCATGCAGCACCCTCCCCAAAAGGGATTGAGGCTGGCCCAAAATCCTCCAACCAATCTTCGCCAGCATAGCAAGGTTGAAACACACCAAATCTCTAAAACCCAACCCACCATCCTTCTTGAGCAACGATAATTGTTTCCACCCCACCCAAAGAATAGGCTTACGGTCCTCCCAAGTTTTCCACCAAAACCGCGCTATCTCACTCACTATTTCACGGCACATCTGTACCGGTAATTTAAAGCATGACATAGCATGATTTGGCATTGCCATAGCCACTGCTTTGATTAACACCTTCTTCCCGGCAGTGGATAAAAATTGCTTAGCCCATCCATGAAGCCGAGCACTAATGTTCCGGCGTACCGAGTCAAAAATCTATTTTTTTGAGGCACCAAAATCTGCTTCAAGGACTAGATATTTACCAAACCCGTCCTTCCCTTGGATATGCAACAACTCAGGCATATTCCTACGCAATCTTCTAGGACATCTATGATAAAAAAAACAGGGAACTTTTTTCAAAATTAATGCTTTGGCCCAAGGCAGCCGCATAATCCTCCAATACTGTTAGCAAACTTCTCGCCTCCCGCTCCATCGCTCGACAAAACAATACAGAATCGTCAGCAAAAAAATAAGTGAGAGATTGAAACCCCCTATCCCGAAATTGGAAGCCATGCACCAGACCCCTTTCCTCCTGCCGTCGTATCAAAGCCGTGAGCCCTTCATCACAAATAAGAAACAAGAACGGTGACAAGGGATCCCCTTGCCTCAGTCCCCGACATGGAGCAATCTGCCCTAACAGCTCACCATTGAGCAAGACACTTAAGACACAGTAGTCACACACTCCATAATCCACCCCCGAAACCGACTATCAAACCCTAGCTTCTCCATCATGGCCTCGAGAAAAACCCACTCCACTCTATCATACGCCTTAGCCATATCCAGTTTCATAGCCATGAATTGTATATCCGAACCCCGAGCTATTTTAAGGGAGTGCAGGATTTCATGAACCACCAAGATGTTATCAGTAATTTGTCTCTCTGCAACAAAGGCCGACTGATTCAGACTGACAACATGCGGAATGACTTTCTTTAAGCGGTTGGTTAACACCTTGGATATAATCTTATACACCACATTACACAACGAAATAGGTTGCCACTGTGTCATTCTCCTAGGATTCGTCACTTTTGGGATCCAAGCAATGTGAGTGTGATTCAACTTCCTGTGCATCCATCCATAATGGAAAAAGCTCTGCACCAACCTTAGAATGTCACCACCAATGGTAGACCAGAATTTTTGGTAGAAACTGCCAGTAAATCCGTTCGGCCCAGGTGATTTAATAGGGTCTAGTTGCTTTACGACAACCAATACCTCATCCTCCAGAACCGGCTTGCTCAGAGACATATTGTCCTGAGAAGTAACAGTTGCCCTAACACACTCCAGAACGGCATCAACACCCATCGGGTTATCAGAAGAGAAGATATCTTGAAAATATGATTATGTAATCCTTCTAATATCAGCTGCCTTCGCATGCCAAACCCCACTTGGATCCTCAAGCCCTAGTAATCGATTAACTCGTCTCTGGACAAGAACCTTTGAGTGGAAAAATTTGGTGCTCTTTTCCCCTTCGCACAACCACTGTACCCGAGACTTTAGCTTCCAATACTCCTCCTCCTTTTGTAACTCCTTTTTAAGATCCACTTCAAGCCTCCTCACCTTATTGTCGTCATATTCACGGACCTGGAGCTCAGTTTGCAGATCCGTTCTCAATCAATCAATGCAAATTTTGGAATTTCGCCACTCTTGCTGTTTCCAGTGCACAAGGCCCTTCCGTACTCATTTTAGCTTCTCAAACACCTACAAACCCCTAGACCTACAAAACCCCGCCGCCATTGCTCCTTAACCAAATCATGAAACTTTTCCAGCGCACTCCATCGTGGATTAAAAATAAAACGAGATGCTCTACGTCGAGAGGTATGCAAAGTATAGAGCAACAACATAACATGATTCGAACCCTCAGCCACCCGATGAACCACGTGCACTTCAGGGTAAACCCGAAGCCAGTGATCATTAGCCAAACCTCTGTCAAGTCTTCCCTGGATACCCCCATCATCCCGTCTATTCCTCCATGTGAACGGACACCCCTCATATCCCAAGTCCAGCAGATTACTAGTCGTAACAAAACCACGGAAATCATCCATGCTCTGTACAGTACGCGGGTGCCCGCCATCCTTCTCCGCCGCCTCAATGTCATTGAAGTCTCCCATGACCAAGCACCCTTCTCGACAGGCATTAATACACTCCTGCAAGACACCCCATTGATTCTGCCTAACCCCAACATCGGTACTCGCATATACCGCAAAAAAAACGCCAGGAATAATTCAGCAGAGCATCATGAACTTCAACCTCTATAAGGAACCCGACTTATTTAACCAAAAAAACTTGCTAGGCATCCTTCCATAACATACATAAGCCACCACTCAACCCCCTAGGTTCCACCACGTGTATAAAATTCATTCCCAATTGTTTCTTCAACCACCCATAGCGGTAAACTTTATTTTTAGTTTCCAGCAGCACCACTATGTTGGGATCATGGAGCCTAACTTACTCCTTAAGACTCGAAACTGTCAGGGGACCCTCGATACCCTGACAGTTCCAGACGAGGAGTATCATGGCGACCGTGGAGACCCATTAAGGCTGGTCTCCACTGCCTGAGCCAAGTCTTCCACAGAGGGCAAACACCGTCGTACCTCACCAGATGTATCTGACACCCCAAAACAAACACTAGAGTTCCCATACCACTGCCGCTTACCAAGTCTGCACTGTTCAGCTTCCTCTTGCCCCTTGCTCAGGGTACCTTTTCTCTTTGCTCTACCTTCCCCACTCCGTTGTGCACCATCAATCAAAGGACCCAAGTTGAAAGGATCAGAATTCTGGGTTAGACTCCATGGACGTTCCAAGCCAATATTTCCCACTACTTGCTCCCCCACACTATCTCCTCCGCATACAACTAGCACTTGGTTATCTACAGTAACATTTAGATCCAAACCCTCACCCACCGCTTCTGCATCCTGCATGTGACCTAGCCCGTAGGCAAGATTATCCCTATGCCGTGTGCTAAAAGAAACCGTATTGGAGGCTGAGTTATGAGAAAAAGTCCCTTCCCGGGAATCCCCACGTCCAAAGATTAACCCAGCTTCCCATGCTGCCTCTCGAAGTTGCCGATTCCTTTCCTCCCCATCGTGTTGACAGCGTATGAAGTTAGCAACAGCTGAAAGCCGAGAGCCAGACTTGTTTGGTGACGCAGCAGTGTCTTCCAACTCTGCCCTTTGAACTCTCTCACCCCTCCACGTACCATGCTGGTCCGCACGATTACCATCTCGACGACCCCAACGGTTTCCACCATGCTGCCGATGCCCTTGAGAGCCAGGAGTCAAATCATAGTTGCCACTACCACGTCTCGGACTCACACTGTTCTTAAAGCGGCAAGTAGAGCCCTTGAGTCTCCGACCCCGGAGATCCTCCACCGCTTCCAGACTGGCATAGGCCAACAAAGCTTCCACCTATGTGTTATTGTTGCCCAACTCCTCCTGGCGTAGTTCCAGGCATATGCGGCTAGGATGACCAATACAACCACCGACGAGACAATATTCCGGAAGGAATTCATACCGAAAGTCTATCCACCGAGAGCCCTCCTCTGGGAATGCCACAAAGGTTCCTCTCATCAATGGCTGCCCCACATCAAACCTGATATGAACTCTAAAAAATCTGCCTATGCAATTGACCCCATCAGCCTGGTCCACCTCCAAAACCCGGCCTATAAGGGCCCCCACTTTCTTAGCCACCATCATGGTCATGTTGAGAAGAGTAATTCCATGTAACTGGACCAAAAAAACCCTCATATCCACAAGCACCGTCCTCGCGTCAGCACCAATCGAAACTTCTGCCAGCCAAACCAGGCCATCTCGAAAAGTCCACGGTTCCATATCTAAAACCCTCCGCTTATCAATCTGATTGGAAAATCGCACCAAGAAACGACGCTTCCCGATTTCCTTTATAGAGACCCCATCACTCCCGCTCCATAACCTTGAAAACACTTCCAAATGCCTCTCGATTCACAGACTTATGAGTCACAACCCTAGCCACCAACGTAAACTGAGAACCTTTCCATAAATCACCAATATCCTTTTCCTCAAAGACGAGACCCTTGTGCTCTCTCTCTGACAAACACAAGTGCGCCCCAAACCGTTTTTCAAGTTCCTCCATTTCCACAGCCCTCCCAGCAAGCAAACGTGCATCACAGGCAATCTCCCCATACATGCCAATCCGACGTAAGAGTTTCCCTGTAGGATGAAGCACAGACCTAGCCGAGATGTGGTGATAGAAATCGAGGGTACAAAAGCCTCACGGTATAGCCGCCGCCACAATTCAAGTAGCCCTAGGAAACCCTAACCCTAACCCTTACTCTCCTTGCGAGAGACTTATTCTGAATCCACGTTGTTAAAACGCTCCTAAAACAAAGTACACCTCCAGAAAATTTTGCTCTTCTTACACCCCCAAATCGCATAAAACACATCATCCGTTTTTTTTTTTTCCACATCTTGCACATAAAGGAGATTGCAACACTTTCCTCTGAAAAAGATTACAAGATGTAGGTAGCACATTAGAGCAAGCTCTCCAGATTAAAATTTTTATTTTGTTTGGCACATCTAACTTCCAAACCTTTTTCCGGAAAGCACATGTTAGGACCTAACCCTATTTGGGCCTAATACTTTTCACAGCCCACTTACTATCACCTTAGTATTGCCTTAGTATCACCTAGCTAAATCCACACAGAATAACAACTTTGGTCTTTCCGCATTTGTAGGAGTTTTGTTAGAACCTTTAATAGATCATAGTCAGCTAGCCACGATTAGGAATTGTATAAACCTTCTTTCTCTTTTGCTTGAGAGGTATGAATTGAATTGAATTTCTTTTTTTTTCTCTTTTCTCCTTTTTCTTTTTTTTTTTTTTGTTTTTTTGTTTTTTTTTTTTTTTGTTTTTTTAAGTTCTTCTACTAGGTGTTTTTTTGCACAGATAAATGATATGATTGCCCGAATCAAAGCCCCCAGCTCCTTTATCCCAACTTATCTCACATTGCCGCAAAGCAATATGATAGCTAGTTTTAACCGTATATTTTCCAATTTTCTCATAAAACCAGTATTTGCTATATTCTAACTATGCAACAGAACCAAGAGAAGTACTTGCAATAGTTGTTGAAGTTTTTGGCTCACCATGATGCAGGATGAAAGAAGGAACCAAAGGGGCTATAAGAAGGAGCTACTGGAGATGAAGAAGATGTCGCGGTTGGAGAAGAAGAAGGTAATAGAGCTAGAGCTTGCATAACCCAGTTTTTGGCATGAATCCAGTCACTTGAGCGGCATAGAGGTGTGCTCGAGTGGCAATTCCCAGACGCGTGAGGGATTTTTGGGTATTAGCCTATTTTGTATAGGATTTTGTTTCCTATTCCTAGTTAACTTGTAACCTAAGTCCTATGAGTTATAAATAGGACTTTTAGGGCTATGTAAAATTTAAAAGAGAGGAAAATTCAAGAGAGACACAAGATAATTCAAGGCTGAATTCTAAGGTGTTTTCGAGGGCATCAAGGGTTTGAGCAAAGGTGAGTAAAAAAAGAGCTAGAATTCTTGTGAGAGCTAAAGGGGTTCAAGATTGTAACCAATGTTGTTCTTCCATACTAGTGAATTTCTCAGGTAGATCACCAAGAGGACGTAGGCACGAGACCGAACCTCTATAAATCTTTGTGTTCTTGTGTGTTTGCTTTCTCTCTTCGGTGTACTTGTGCTTTATTCTCAAAGGGATTTGTGTCTGTGCCATTACATAATCCATCAACAACAAAGTCTTGGAGTGTTTGGGCACAACAAGTGGTATTAGTAGCCTAGGTCGGCAGAGGGTATTGGTTTATGCCCAAGTGCTCTTATAGCATTAATAGTGTTTACAAGTGTTGACAATGGCGAACAACAAGAAGGCGGTGGGAGAAAACTCCCAAACAAAGACACCACAAATGGATAGCATGAATCTTAAGGTAAAGACATTCACAAGGAAAGAGAACTTCAAGCTATGGAAAATGAAACATGACCTAGTCAAGTAAGGTCCAACCGTTATTTTGGCAGGCGAAGAGTTAAGGCCGATGACAGGACCCGCCCCGAATTTCCTCGGAAACCGGGACGGACCCTGCCTAATTACCGACATCACCCCGATGCCGGGCCCACTTACTAAAGACCGAGACTTTCTACCAAAAATTTGGTAGAATCTCCCCTGTAAATTGAACATTTCCCAAACTTCAACCTGCTCAAAATTTACAGTTAATAAACCCAACCAGCAGCATGCTTTAAAAGCAGTTAAATAATTTACAACAAAGGCCTCCGGCCTCACAATTCAAACCCTAAGCGGGCGATACAGAGCATATCTAAGAAATTCTAATACAACATAAACAGAGTCCCACTGGAAAAGAAAGATGAAGGAGTCCCTACAAAGACTCAAGGTTCGGAAGCACCCGATCCGGCTCGACTGCGGAGCTCAGTCACTACTGGCTGGGGCGCGCAAAACAGAAAATTGTGAGTGGACAAAAATAAAGTTCAGTTTAAATAAATCAACGTAATATAACCCCACCGTTAGAAAATCATGCAAGAATTCCAAATGCATCTTAAAATTGTCATAAGCAAGTATATGAACATATACTAAAATAATACCGGATACCAAGTCCGAAATCCGTGAACAACACTTCACAAACCCACCATTCAAAACTTAAAAGTCCCGAAAGATTAAACTCTCGAAAACATACCCATTGGCACGACCGGCGAGGAAGTATCCTTACTGAGAAACAAGAACGAATGAATATTCATATGTATAAATATGTATCATAATATATATATATATATAATTATAACCAACATTTAGTTGTACCGGGGAAACAATCCAACCGGGGGCTTGTTTGACTAGTCAACATGGTAGAGCCATTCCTCAATTCACTATGTGACTAGGGAACGAGCCGTCCAACTGGGGGACTAACTCTCAGCCAGCACGTACAGCCGAGATACTCAAAGCTTGTACGCCTAAAAAACTAGTCCTACGCGTGTAGACTACCCCAAATCCAGGGTCTACAGCTACATCCCATCAAGGATGTCCTGGGTTCCGACAAGTCCAAGTATCTCAAGTATCAGTAACCAAGTTCCAAATCCGGGGAGGTACATAAGGTAGTGCTTAAAGCACTCCAAACAAATATTTCAAAACTCAAACCTTCCCACAAACTCATTTTAACAACCCAAGTACCCCATACATAGTCAATACTTCATAAAAATATCACTTTCCACTATTGAATAAATAATAATATATCCAAATATACCAATGAACATTATGCATAAAGTTTCCTATCATAAAACCATGCATATTATGTAAAAACAAAGTCCACTCACAAGTAGTCCCACGCTGCTTGACCTTGAGAGGGCCCCGCCTGCTGCGTATGCGTGGTCGGAGTACCTAATTCATAAAACGAACACGCGGTTAACATCAAGCACTTCTAAACAGAATTTTTGAATTAAAAACCTAGCTCCCGGGTTTCTAGTGAGTACGAGAAAAGAGACGTTCTCAGGGGTAGTATACTTCAATTTGGAAATGATCCAACGGTCGGAATATATCGAACCCGGATAACGCACAATATGTGATAATCCGTTCAATAGTCAAATGACCTCGGAATTGAGATCCGCCAAATCCTACGCGCTCGTGACATCCTAAGGATCTCATCAGGACATTTAGCAGCTCCACCACTCCTGCCCACGCGCCGCCACACGCGCCGGCAGCGCGTGGGTGGCTTGATCAAATTCCGGCGCCAGAAAAACTTCAAACCGCCGGCCCAAACTCCTATCCTAGGTAAAACACTACATTTAGAGTCACTTTTGTTCTTGGGCCTACCCCAAAAAGTGGCCGGAAGTGGCCGAAATTTCAAATTGAAAACCGGCTAAAAACCTAGGTTTTCAAATCGGATTTTATGCTACGAATTGATCCAATCCTAAGAAACAGTCAGCTAGAACTCAGAAAATGGATAAGAATCCATACCTCAACCGTCCAAATTGGTGGAGAAACGAGAGAGAACGAGAGGTGCAAGGTTCTGTCAGAAACCGGAGCTTTCTCGACTGATTCTGGCAAGCACAGTGGACGGTGATGGCTGAGACTGGTCGGGAAATGACAAGGGAGAGAAGGCGGTTCGAATGGGACCGGTTTCTAGTGCTGAGGTGGTCGGATGTGGCGGCAGGGTGGCTGTTTCCGTTCGGGTGAACAGTGACGGGGGAGAGAGTTCGCGGGAGAGAGAGAGAGAAAAGGTAAGGTGAAATTGAAGAATCTGATTTTTACTAATACCCTTTTCGAATTATTTACGGTTTTGCCACCGAAGGTAATTTGATCGCCAAAACTTCATTATAACTCCGATTCAAGCCTACCGCCTGTCTACGAATTCATCTCAGAACCACCTACGCAACCAAAGCACCCGTGGTCCCAAAATCCTTTCGGATAAGAAAATGACCAAATTACCCTCACCTTAAGGGCAATTTCGTAAATTCACTTCATTAAATTAAAATATGGAATAATTTGGAGTCGGGGTGTTACAGCCGGAAACCATGACAATGAAGGAAAGGGACGTGCTTGGTGAGTTGGCCAAGGGGGTCCATCAAGGTGATAGAAGACATTGCAAAGCAAACATGGGAAAAGCTCAAACGGATGTTTGTAGGGAAGTCCCTAGCAAATGAATGCTTCATGAAGGAAAAGCTTCTAAATCTTCGGATGGAGGAGGGTGTAAATCTCATGGAGCATCTTAACATTTTTAATAAGTGTATTTCAGGCTTGCAGAAGATGGACGTGGTTTATCCGGACTCGACCTCAGCCCCTCATTTCCCGAACCCAAACTCTTTCTATCCCTCTTTCTTTCTCCCGGTCTTTTTGTCTCTCTCTTTCCCTCCACGGAACCTATCTCTGCCCACCGCTGCACACAGACAACTTAGATATGAATCTGGGGTTGTTTTTGTTAGGTAAGACCCATTTTCCTTCAAGTAAGAATTTAATAGATGTTTTAACAGCCTTGCTAATCGTGGAGTCTGGTTGTATGATTTCTGTGCGTTTGGATATGAATTTGTAAATTTTGAAAGGGTACCAATATGAAATGACCTCCAAAGTCCAAAGGTCATGTAGATTTATGTAATTAATCTTCTTCTTTTTTTAATTTAAAAAAAATTTCTCCAAAGGAATCACCATCAAACTAAAGTTGATTGAAAAGAATAAAATTGATTAAAAAGTATTTATAAATAAAAAAAAACAAAAAGGAGTGTAAGTGGAGAAAATAGGGAGTGAGAAAATCACCTCCCTAAAAAATATCTATATAAAAGCATCCACAATTTTTTGTTTGGGGGGGTATTTTCGAGAGTGTAGAGCCACTTTTACATCCCCTTTACACATCCGGGGGTTATAAATGTTGTTTTTGCTCTAATAGGAAAGATGTAAATATAAAGATGTATAATTGATTTTACTCACTTTTGTCCACCTTTTCTCAATTTTTCTCATATAGAACCTACAAGGAATGTAAAAAAAAAGACGTACATGTGCATCTAAATTTGCATATTACGGTTGTGATGCAAATTTACAATCGTTTACACCTCCCTATTACAGATGACTCCGATCATAAATAGTGCATATTTAACATACATCTCATTATACAACTTCTACTGGAGATACTCTAAGGATGTACAAAAAGAAGTGCCATGGCCAATCAGTATAGGCAAAGCAATATACTTCATCCTTAAAAGAATAAATGCCATGTCATACTCTGCCAACTTGAGATAAAACTACATGAATTTTGATATTATAAATTTGAAAATATTTTTATTAGTTTAATTTCTTAAATATAAATTATCGGCTTAAATGTTAAAATAGTTCCTGTGTTTTATCATGTTGGCCAATTTAATCCCTGTGTTTTTAATTTGGCCAATTTGATCCCTGTGTTTAGGACCGTTAGTCAATGTGATTCAATCCGTTAAATTTATGTTAAAAAAATTTAAAAACTGTTTAAATATTAATATAAAAAAAATAGATATATTTGAATTCAATTTAAAAATGGATAATTAAATAAGATCTAAAATTTTGGTCAGGGCTCTTAGTCCCCTTATTACCAACAAAAAAAAATTCTAAAACTAAAAGAAATTAAAATCAAAGGATGATACCACCGTCCAATCTAGCCCCCACCCCCACCACCCTTCTTTCTTCTCTCTTTCTCCCAGCAACAACCCACCCAGCTACTTTCCGCAGCCAGACACAAAGGCCCCAACTCCCTACACACACACACCTCCTGATTCCTGAACACGAATCCTTCCCACCCCAGAGAGCTCTCTCTCTCTCTCTCTCTCTCTCTCTCTCTCTCTCTCTCTCTCTCTCTCTCTCTCTCTCAAACAACCCCTACCGCCCAACCATGTCCCAGAAAGATCTTCCCCAGCCCCACCATTCCCTGGCCATTTGTCCCATCCCTAGCCGCGCCGCCCGGATCCTCTAGCCCACTCTGGTCGTCGCCCCACTCCCCCCTCCCAATCGCTGAGCAGCCTCTTCCCCCTCTTTGATTATGCCCATCCTGTTTTTTTTTCTTTCCTAATGTTATGGTTTGGTTTTAATGAATTTTCAATATATTTTTGAATTAGTTACAATTTTAAAATAAATTTCAAATAAGTTTATAGGTTTTCAACAAAAAAGAAAAAAAATCATTTACGTTTATTTAACAGCAATTTTAACGGAATGGACCACATTGGCTGATGATCCGAAACACGGGGACCAAATTGGCCAAATTGAGAACACAGGGATTAAATTGACTAACGTGATAAAACACAAGGACTATTTTAGCATTTAAGCCTAAATTATCTATACACACACGCATCAAACATTGCCCTTCTTAAAATAATATTTTTCAATGTTTTCTGGCTGTTGGTTTCCCGGAGGAACAAACACATTGCCCATCCAATTCCGTTGACTTATCCGTCAGATATTTCTAACGACACCCATAGAATCTTTTTTAGACACCCCCACTTCATACAAGTTTGTCCGAAAATTCCAATTCTATCCCTCTAATTACAAAAGCAAACATTCAAAAGAACTAAAAACAGAATCGTCAGAGCACAGCAAAAAAATAAATAAAAAATCACCTCCCTGCAATTTCTATGCCTCAGCCTGCCTTGTAGAGTATAGCAAGAACAAATAATTGTTTAATTTCTATGCTCAGCGCCAGCTTTTGGCACTCATCCCATTCAATTTTAATGCTCTTTAATGGCTGGGGCCTATTGCACACACCCCTCCGCCTACTATCTATCTAGTTGCTCTTTGCTAGCTGGAAATAAAGTTTTAGTTGTAGATTTTAGCATATTCAGTTATGCATTTCTAAATATTCATCTCATCCTCCAACTTCTGATACTCAAATTTTTTTATTTTTTTATTTAATGAACTGATTCTCTTAATTTGAAGCAATAAGATATATCAAGGTCTAAAATATTGATGGTTTCAGAAATATCGGTGGTTCGAAAATACAAAAATTTTGATGGAAATATCGGAAAATTATCAATATCGATAAAAATTGAATAAAAACTTGGAAAATTTTCTTCAAACTTTAGAGGATGTTTATTTAGTCAATTATCTATTACTTTATCATAAAAAAAATTGGAAGAAAATGCATTGAATGATGAGTTTAACTTATTTAAGTTGATTATATAGCGAGTTGACAAAAAATATGTAATAATTAATGAAAGAAGATTAAACACACTATAATAATTTACTACAATATTTTATACTTTATACATTGCAGTGTGTAAAACTAGAAATAAAAGTGAAGAAAGTTACCCCAATTCTTTGTTGATTCAAGCCTCCATTGGTTGCAATTTCCAAGTACCTATTAGGACGTGTAATTTCATTTACATCTGCAAATATAAACAATATAGCTATTCAAATCAAATCAAAAGCACTAGTCACATTGTGAAAACAAACAAAACTGATTGGCAATTGCAAAACAAGCCATAAAATCAGCAACAAGGAAGGTCATAAAGCAAGCTAGGCAGATAACAGATTTTATGACGATCTCGCTAACGGAGAGGATAAATTGTAGGTTTTCCGCGACGTTGAGTATGTACTTGTAAATGTCTCCAAAATCGAGTATGCATTCGTAAATGACCCTATAAGTTATGGGGTTTGTTGTAGTTTACCCAAGAATAAAATATGAGCATATATGAGAATTACTTAATATGTGACCTACTTTGTTTTGACTTTTTTTACCAGCAACATGTGCGAATTTTTAGGGTTTCTCTCCTCTCCCAACATCAATTATTGTGATCATGACCATCTTTATCTAAATGATGTTTGTTTTTGCTTTTTTATTTTTTTATTTTAAGAAATTAAGATATTTGTTCTTGTATTCTAACTAGTGGCTCGCTTTCTCCCCCCACTCCGATCCCACATGCCTTGACTGATCCAACCTCCCTCAAAGTCAAAATCAACCACCCAGACCATCATCGTCCCCAACACAGCCACACCTACATCCCATGCCCCAGCCCCAGCCACACCCCAAGGCCCTGCACAAAATATCCAATATTCTTTATTTATGTTTTCTTTAAACAAATTTATTTTTCAATTTGTAATTATTGGGCAGAAAGCGAGAGAGGGATAGAGCAGTGCGAGGGGAAGAGAGAGAGAGAGCGAGAGAGTGGTGAGGAGTGGGAAAGATAGAGAGAGGAGTGGGAAATTTTAGTGACCAAATTTAAATTCGACCCTAACCCCTTCATTTTACATTTAAAAAAAATTGAAAGTGTCGATATCATATGTTAATGGCAAAAACCAAGCAGCTCCTAATATTTTTTTTTCTTATGATTTCTTAATATTTTGAGGGAACACCAGAATATTGCAAAATTACAAGGACGTCGTTGAGTATTTACAAGGGCTTACAAATGTACGAGGCAAGGAGCCATTAGAAAAATAAACAATAATAATAAGAAGAAAAAGAAAAAAGAAATTTATAATTGTGTAATTTCATCGAGCACACGACTGAATAGTAGACAAATGAAAGGCATTCACGGCCAATCTCCCCGACGAGGACCGGACCGAGTCAGATGGCCTTAGAACTAAGTCACCAAACCGAGCCGACTTACTGAAACTCTCTCTCTCCATTCTCATAGTCGCCATTAACTTATTATTGCTGTCTTTCTCCTTCCCAACCTTCGTCTTCATCTCTCTGATCAAACCCCAAAACCCCTCAACCAAATCATTCTTTACATTCGGCACCGCCAAAAGCCTCCCTTCGCAATCCTCCGACCGCTTCAACGCGCCCAGCAACTCGATCGAGTCGCCGAAACTCAGACAGTTGAGCCGCTCGTCAAACTCGTTAACTAGGACCAAAATTTCGTTCATGGCAGAAATCTGATCCTCGCCCACCAAACCCAGAACCTCAATCACCAACCTGTTCTCGCCCAAACCCAAGGACTCGGGCCGTTTGCAAATCCCCTCAAGCAGACTCACTAGCGACTCGGTCTCTCGGACCAAACTAGCATTCAAAAGCGCCGAGACTCGCTCCTCTTCTTTGTCTTTCTCCACGATGCAGGAATTCGAGCCGACGAAGAAACCCAGAAGCCGGGATGTTAAGAGGAGGTTTTCGATGTACTGAGCGTACCATCGGACCCAGGAGGAGAGCTCCCAGGCCACAGGGGTAGAATCGTCTCTGAAATTGGAGAGATTGAGGTAGTTTCTGCCTCCGCCGGCGGGGTACACGGAGAGCTGGTCCTGGAGGATGAAGGAGCCGTATTTGATGACGTGGTGGACGGCGAGAAGGCACTTGAGGGCGACGGCGGAGTCGTGGGTGGTTTGGAGGCGGTCCATGAGGGACTCCACGGCGGAGGAAGCGGTGGCGCGTGAGCTGAGGCCAAAGGAGAGCAGCGCAGCGAGACTTTTGGGGTTTGGGGGCGTGAAAGGGTCATGGGTTGTGGCGCGGAGGAGGGTGAGGTGGAGGGAGGAGGAGGAGGAGAGAGTGTTTGTGTTGAGTTTACAGAGGATTGCTGCCTTGCTTTGGGAGGCCTTGTCTTTGATTGCCCCCATCAGCTCTCTGAGCTTTCTTCTGCGTCCCATGTGAGAGAGAGGTCGGAGTATCAAAGGCACAACAGACTAACAGAGCCTTATCATATTATATTATTTCTGAATGGGAATTGATACCTAGAACATTTAAGATTTGGTACACTAAACTATTGGATTGGACATTTACGTGTGTAATAGTAATTGCTTTGATCTATTAAATAATATACAACACCCTAAATAATATTGTCTGGTTCTCTCTCTCTCTCTCTCTCTCTCTCTCTCTCTCTCTCTCTCTCTCTCTCTCTCAAAATATGGACCGCAACTAGTCAAATTTGGAAGCTAGGTAGGGTGTTACATCCTTTTCTTTATTTTAGATTAAAAATATAAAGCATTACTCAAATGTACATCAGTACTTTATTATCTATTTGTGGCACATTTTGCATTGAAACATTAGTACTTTATATAATTGCTTAATTCAAATTTAATTCTTATTTTAATTCTAGAGGACTGTGACACTGCCCACATTGACAATTTGTTAATGTACCTAAAAGCACCAGTTAGCCAATTGTCGGTTTGGTTGAAGAAAATGTACCTAAAAGCACCTATTAGTATTCAATATAGGGATTGCTTCTGATTTTTTTTTTTATATAAATATTTTTTATAGGGCTACCAATTAATTAAAAATTGAAAGATAACTATATGACTCATGTTGATGCTTAAATTTGGTTCAACAGATAATGACCTCTTCGAGATTAAGGTCGACAATCCTTCTAAATTAACTTAGCATGACCAAGCGAGTTGTCCCCTAGAACTAGTTTTAGTGCTTAGGGATTGCACTTGTAAATATAAACTGAGTAAGAATATGTAATCAAGAGATACAAGAGATTTACGTGGTTCACCCATAATTAGGCTACGTCCATGAGGCGTTAGGTATTTTCACTATTGAATGATGAAGTTACATAGGTACAAAGTGTTTGATCCTCACAACCCATATCCCAATTACATCCAAAACTCTCATAATCATGATGAACAAGATAAGATATCGATATCGTAGGGTTGAGTTATTGTTGGAGGAACCCCCCTCAAGTTTAAGAGTTGCCTTTATATAATAGCTTGGAGATAATCAAATCCTTGTAGAAGTAGGCTTCCTACTTAGCCTCAAAGTAGAAGTCCATCTCTTAATAGAATTCTAATCCATATGAAGCTCGGCCCTAAGGTTATTTTACCCACAAACAACTCAATACGCATACATAGGTTTAGTTAAGTTAGATAGAGCATATGTGCTCCTCACTCTACACTTGAGTTCGAATCTCCCTTCCTATAGTTTAGATTATATTAGAATAAAATATTGTATGAAAAAAAAAAAAAAAAAAAAAAATATATACTTGTATGCTATATACTTCTTTCTTAAAAAAAAGAAAAAAGTAATTAAAGGAGAAATTATAGAGAAGTGAGAAGTAGAGAAACATAATAGAAATTATTCTCCATAACTATTTATAGGTTTACAAGTAACTAAGACCACAATATAATTTTTTGTTGTTGTTGTCAAAGTTAGGAAAATGGAGGAGGATTTTCTCACACACACACTGTTAAGGTGCCATATGGATTCGAACCTAAAATCACTGGTCTGTAAGTTAAGGCCATTTTCCACTAGGTTAGACCTAGCAAGAACCCACAATCATTTACCTAAGTTACAAAAATAAACATCACTCATAAATTGTAGGTTGCAAGCATGTACATTAGTGCATATGTTACAATTCTTCAAAGGATATGTATTGTGGTGGGCATCCATAATCTTTGAATATTTTTCTTTGGTTGTCCACCATGCAATAGATAGTGGCTTCATTAAAAACATTGAATGGTAAACTCAGTGGAACAAAACCTAAGCGAAGTAGAAAAGTGTACAACATTATCTTGATGATTGATATGGTGATGGATGCGCTTATATTGCCTTGTTAAGACCGTGCCATGAAAAACTTGATTGGACAAAAACCTAGTAAAAGGAAAAAGAGTACATCGCACATATTTCGTATGTGTATAACTTGATGGATGCCCCACCTAATCACATCGAATCATTTGATGACCGCAACACAAATGATGTGAGTATATATATATATATATATATATATCAATGATCCAAAAAGTAGAAATGATCTTTGAATGATTATCTAAAAAATAGACTGTTTGGATTAGTGAAATACAATACGGAGTGGGCCCTACAACGGTGTCCCTTAAATAAGCTTATTTGAGGGATCCCTTAATGGAAGCTTTCTGTATATATATTGAGAAATTCCTCAAATAATTTTATTTGAGGGACACCTTTTAGAGTACCCTACAAATTTTTTTCCAATGATCCAAACTATCTAATTTTTAAGTCTACATTCATAGATCATCCTTGCAAAAAATTAGACAAATTGGAAATTGTTTTGACGTCTAATTGTATCCTACAAAATCAATGAACATGGTACTTCAATAAAGTACTAAAATTTCAATAATTCAATTGAGTGGTCAAATGATATCGGATTCAAGTGATTTTTTTTATTTTTTTATAAAGATGATCTTTGAATGAGTATCTACAAAATAGTTTGGTCAAAGGTGCCGAGTTCAATACTTTGTACACTCAGGTTCCTTAAATGGAGACTACCATCACTAAGTGAAGGTTCAAGCTTGGAAGGCACCCACACCTATTGCATAGTATTATATTGCCCATATATAAATATATATTTTTACTCTTTTTTTTGTCATGGTAAAATTTTAAAAACCTTGTGGGGGATTGTTGGAATTTTAAAAAGGTTTAAAAAATTTAATCATTTTATTTATTTAATTATTTTGACTGTTTTATTTTATTTATTGTGGGGGTTATAAATATTTAATATTCAGGTTTTATTTCTATATTGAATGCCTTAATTTTCTGATTGGTGAAGGTTACATATTCTTGGATGCCTATAAAAGGCCACTCCTCCACATTTGTAACAACAACAATACACCAACATAATATCACATACCACAATCACCACCACAAACTAATTCTCTCCTTTTCTACTTTTATATATATTCTCTACTTTATATTATTATTTTGGCAATGGTTCTATGAGTTGGATACCTATATCTGTCTATAAACTTGCTCATAATGGATCTTGAGTTTGTATACAACGTATCTTGGAGTCTTGTAGACCGTCAGTACCTGTACGTAGGGAGACTACAAAGGCTTTAGGACAACGTCTATGACGTGCTTCACCGTACCAAACTCACCTTCTTACTTATTATTTATTTTGCTTTTACTTACCTATTATTTTGTTTTCTTTAATTTCATTGTACCTTAAAAGCTTTCCAATTTGTTTATAAGTTATTTATAATATAAATGTTTTTGTATTTGGCTTTACAGAAAAGGAAAACTATAATTTATATAACAATCTAAAGCCTTTTTAGATTAAAGTTGTTTTCTTCCTGTATTGTTATTGCTTTAATACCTTTTAACTCTTTGACTGAAGCTTTTGCATTTGTATTGGATTTTGAAATTGAAAATTACGATTTGTTTTGGATAGATGTAGTTTAAAGCTTTCATGTTGTCTATATAATTTCGGTTGCTTTAAATATTATTGGTACATTTCTATTTTTATAATTTGTCGCTAACATTTGGGCAATTACTACTAGAGTTTGAGGGAAAAAAAATTGTTTGTTTGTTGCATCTTTTCGTGATATATATATTGCATCTTTAGTGTGGATGTCGGCAATTCTTTTCTTATCACAAGTTTTTATATTCATTTTCCTAGGAAAGTGTTTGATCACTGATTGTCTTTGCAAATGTTGAATTTATTTGAATACTCCTTATCTGTAATAAAGAGAAAATAGTGATTTATGTTTGTTACGCATAGATAAACAAAAATGTATGATTTTTCTGAATCTTAAAACAGCTTTCTCTGTTATATGTATGTATATATAAATAACTTGATTATTCTATTTACTTATTAAACTCGAAAAACATGTTGTAGTATTTTGTGTGTGTACAATTTCTTTGTTGGAGCCCACCAATACAATGGGGCCCACCTCTATTAGAGAGGTAATACAATTGTGGTATGAAAAATGTGGTAAACCTAGCATTTTTCATATTTGACACGAGTTTTGAACCATTAGATTGAAGCATTATTAATGGCCAAAATTAAATCTCATAACTAATTTATTATTATCTTTCTAATAGTATTTTAACTCAAAAGATTTATTACTTTAAGGAGCTGATTTTCCCTTTCCTATTTTGTCCACTTACACTCCATTTTGTTTATAAAAAAAAAATATTTTTTAATTAATTTTGTTCTTTTATGCTGTGTTTGGTAGGCCTCACTGGACTGGACTGAGTTAAATAACACTTGAAACTCATGTTTAGTAAGAGGGGGGACTAACTTAAATGATATAGACTGGCCATATACTGGCCATATACTGGCCATATAGACAAGTGAGTGTGTTGTCTGCATCAACTGGCCATTTAGATTGCTGGGTGAATAGTCATCCCAAACAACCATTCAAAGTGACTGGATTTTGTGGTAACCCTAAAACATCCTTATGAATTTTCTCTTGGGAATTGCTTAGAAGGTTAGCAGGTTCTTGTACAAGCCCTTGGTAATGCTTTGGGTGATTTTAATGAGCTGCTCTCTAAAAGAGATTCAAATGGGGTTAGAAGGAGACCAATGTACCAAATGGAAAACTTCCAAAATTCTCCAGATGACTGTTATCTGAGTCATATCGGTTTTGAAGGCTTTCCTTTCACTTGGAGTAGGAAGAATGGTAATGGGAGTGTTTTGTGGGAAAGACTTGATCGAGTAGTTGCAAATACAGCGTTTAGGCACTTGTGGCACCAGACCAAGGTTCATCACCTTAATAGTACAATTTCTGATCACAAGCCAATTCGTTTAACTCTTATTTCCCAAAATATTAGTGATGCATTAATTTCAGCAAGAAAGCGCATATTTCATTTTGAAACGATGTGGATGAAAGAAAAGGGATTTGAAGATGTTGTGAAGGAAGCCTGGGAGTATAATGTAGATGAACACCTTTCTGTGAAAGAAAAGCTCAAAAGGTATGCTATTTCTTTTAAAAATTGGGAAAAAGATGTCTTTGGTAGTGTCAGGACTCCAATTCGTTTAACTCTTATTTCCCAAAATATTAGTGATGCATTAATTTCAGCAAGAAAGCACAGATTTCATTTTGAAACGATGTGGATGAAAGAAAAGCACATATTTCATTTTGAAACGATGTGGATGAAAGAAAAGGGATTTGAAGATGTTGTGAAGGAAGCCTGGGAGTATAATGTAGATGAACACCTTTCCGTGAAAGAAAAGCTCAAAAGTATGCTATTTCTTTTAAAAATTGGGAAAAAGATGTCTTTGGTAGTGTCAGGACTCAATTTTGCAATGTATTAACCCTTCATAACAACAAAGTCAGAGGAAGGCTTTTCTTGAAAGAAAGATTGACGACATGTTGGAAAACAAGAAATTATGTGGCAACAAAGTTCAAGGGTGGAGTGGTTGAAAGAAGGAGATAAAATACTTCTTATTTCCATGAAAAGGCAAGGGAGAGAACAAAGAATAATTTCATAGTAGGGGTGTATAATTCAAAAGGGAAATGGTGTACGGATAGGAGATTGGTAATAAAAAATTTCAGTTGCTATTTTCAATCTCTCTTTGCGAAAACAGGAGGTTATAACATTAAGGTGATCATTGACATGATTAGTCCAAAAGTGCCTGATCAAATGAAGCATTTCCTTGTTAAGCCTTACAATAGAGATGAGGTAGAGATTGCTCTGAAGCAAATGCCTCCTTCAAAGGCTCCTGGAATTGATGGAATGCCCGCTGTTTTTTTTCCAGAAGTATTGGCTTGGGGACGAAGTTACTAATGTATGCTTAAAATTCTCAATGGTCAGGAAAGTGTGAGAAGCCTGAACAAGACTTTGATAGCTCTCATTCCCAAAGTTGAAAAGCTGGAATTTGTGACTCAGTATAGGCCAATATCCCTTTGCAATGAGATCTATATAATTATTTCTAAGACCATAGCCAACAAAATAAAGTGTGTGCTCTCAATGGTCATATCTGAAAGCCAGAGCGCTTTTGTTCCAAAGAGATAAATTTCAGATAACGTCACTCTGGCTTTTGAAACAATCCATGCCATGAGAAGTAGAAGGGGAAAAAAAAGTTCCAAAGATTGCTTTGAAGTTAGACATGGCAAACGCGTATGATAGGGTTTATTGGAATTTCATTTGTAAAATGATGGAGATATTGGGTTTCCCTGAGGACTTTATTAAGTTGGTCTTTGAGTGTATATCTACTATATCATATTCATTGATAAGGCATGAAGCTGTTGAAGGTAATATTATCCCACAAAGGGGGATTAGACAAGGAGATCCCTTATCTCCCTATCTTTTCCTCATTTATGCAGAGGGTTTTTCTGCGCATCTTAAACATGCAGAGATTTCTGGTGAAATAAAAGGGATTGAATTTGAAAGGGGGGCCCCTCCAATTTCTCATTTGTTTTTTGCAGATGACAACTTACATTTTCTTGAAGCAACACCTCAAGTCTATAGAACCCTTAAATGGGTGTTTGAGATTTATTAGGCAGCAGCGGGCAAAAAATAAATTTGGAGAAGTCAACAATTGTATTTAGTCCGAACACTCGTGTGCATTTAAGGAATGAGGTTAGCAGAATTCTAAAGATCCCAGTTGTTGAGTTTCGTTAGAAATAATTGGGATTTCCAACAGTGATTGGTAGGAAAAAGAAAGATTGTTTTAACAGAATAAAAGAAAGATTGAGAAAGAAGCTTAATGGCTGGAAAGAGAAATTTCTTTCAAATGCAGGAAAGGCTCTCCTTATCAAAGTGGTGGCTCAGAGTATTCCAAATTATGCTATGGGAGTTTTAAACTTCCTGTAACATTTTGTGCTGAGTTGAATTCAAAGATCTCTAAATTTTGGTGGAAGAATTCAGAGTATTGCAAAGGTATTAGCTGGGCAAAGTGGGAGCATCTGTGTTTTGCAAGGGAAGAAGGTGGACTGGATTTTAGAGATCTGGAGTTTTTTAACAAAGCACTTATGGCTAAGCAATGTTGGAGACTTTTTACCAATGAATAGTCCATGATTTACAAGGTGTTAAAAGCTCGATATTTTCTAAATTGTAATTTCTTGGCAGCTGGTAAAGGAAGAGTTTCTTCTTATGTTTGGAGATCTTTGATTTGGGGACGTGAATTGCTCTTGAATGGGATAAGGAAGAGGATTGGAGATGGACAAGATACTCTAGTCTATGGAGATGCATGGATTCCTAGACCTACTTTTTTCCGCCCTTTTTTCCCTCAAATGGTGGATCAAGAAACTAAAGTAAAGTGCTTTTCCTTTGAGCGTTAATTATCATAAAGATAGATGGATTTGGCATTATACGACGAATGGAATTTATTCTGTGAAAAGTGGTTATGGAGATGAAAAAAAAAAAAAAAAAAAAAAAAAAAGAAAAGTGCAGTAGGGCTATTGGCTCCTCTTTGGAACCAAGAATACGAAATGCTTTTTGGAGAAAAGTTTGGTCCCAAGAGGTACCACAAAACTCTTATATTTTAATTGGAGAGCTATTAAAAATTATATTCCTTGTAAATCTAATCTCCTAAAAAGGAAAATAATCTCTTATGACTCCTGCCGCATTTGTAATGTGAATCCTGAGAGTGTAATACATGCACTATGGAGTTGTCCTAGTGCCCAAAAAGTTTGGAAAAAAATGCAGTTCAGGGAGGTTTTTACAGGTGTGCACTTTTCCAACTACCAGGATGTATTTGAAGTTGCCATTATTTATCTTTCAAAGTATGAAATGCGCCTGTTTTTATATATTTACTGGAGCTTATGGCAAAACAGAAATAAATAGTTGTTGAAGGTCGTTCTTGTGCAAATTTTCAGAAGGGCTCTTTACTTGGCTGATGAACATGGAAATCTTGTGAAAGGTGAACCTAAAATAGATGTTGAGAAGCCAACCAAATGGTCTCCCTCTCCTGCTGGTAAATATAAACTGAATGTAAATATAAACTTGGATTGAAAAGGTTCCCCTCTGACCAGAGCCAATTGTACAAGATGATATTGTTGTATCCTCTTAATTGTTATCAATAATCTCCTCTTTGAAAATATATATATATAAACAAAATGCTATGTACACAGTAGAACTAACGAAAACACCATAATGCAAATATTTACAAATCAAACAGGAAGCCGAGATATCGATTCTTTGGACCTCTCCGCCTTCGCATTCAGACAATCGAACGGCGTTTTAACAGACGGCGTCTTCCCAAACACGCCATCTCCGTCACCGCCTCCTCCCTTAGGAGACTTAAAGGTAACGGAACTCCCCCTAGCCAAAAACGAGGGCGTTCTTAACAAAACCCATGAGTCGAACCACCCGGTTTGATTATCCACATTGCTTTTCGCTTCACCGCCGCCGCACCTATACCCCTTCCTCGAACTCTCAAGGCGAGGCAAAACGACGTCGTAGCTATTCGAACGTCTCAGCTTATTTATCCCGAGCGAAATCAGCTGTCTCCTCACCTCCTCTGGCAGTCTCAAGGTGTACCGCTCCGTGTTCCCTCCGAGTTGACTCAGTGAGTGACCCGTCGAGTGCGATCTGGGGAACTTTCCAGAGATTCCCGACCTCGCTGTACGTGTACGGTTAACAGTCTCAACCGCTTGTGGGTCCCCGCTCTGATTTTCATACACATTGACCACGACGGCGTCGTTCCGAGCCTCACCGACTTCAATCTGGCTCGTCGTACTCGAACTTTCCAGATTCGGATCGTTGTGTGGCTCAGGAACTCGCGAGTTCGACTCGGCCGAGAGCTTGGCGCGGCAAACCGGACACGTCACGTGAGCTGCTAACCAGGGGTCGATGCAGTCTGGGTGGAAGACGTGATCGCACTTCGGCAGCAAACGCAGCGTTTCGTAGTCGTCGAACTCGCCCAAGCACACCGCGCACTCCAGAGCTCCCTTCCCGATCTTGAGATCCTTGACGGCAGAGTAGACGAGGATCGGGAAAGTCTCGATCACGGCAGGGTCGAGGCCTCGCCGGAGGGTAACGGTGGCTGGAGCTGCGGTTCCGGCGGATTCGATGTCTGCAGCCTCGGCGCAGCGGCGAATGCAGATGATGAAGAAGGCCATCAAGAAGAAGGCGCATACGAGGAACACAAAGATCACGGCCATGGATGAGTTGAAAGTGGAGAGGTAGCCATAGCCGTTGTTGTTCTGTAATTCCTCGGTGGCCTGCGCATTAATGGCGTAAGGGAAGGCAAACAAGAGCATGAGGAGGCTGAAGCTCTTTATCAGTCCTCGCATTTTCACAAACAGTTGGTGGTCACATTAGCTCTGCGTGGTAGTGAGCGCTGCTCGTATTAAGGGAAGGGAAGGAAAGAAGGCAAAGTTGGAATTGGGTAGTAGAGTGCCACGTGGCGCGATAATAATAATTACGGCTGCTGAAGCAGGTGCTGGTTTTGCTTGGGCAGCAAGAAGAAGGGGGGCTTCGTGTGCGGTTTGAACTCTTGGGATTAAATATTGAAACTCAGTTGACCGGAAAGTAGTGAAAAAAAAAAGTAATCTCAGCGGACGGTTGGATGAGACTTGAGAGAAAGCGATGGATGTAAGGGGATTGGAGGAGGAAGAAGAAGATTGCCTGGAATAATCTGATTCTACGTGAAGTGCGGACAGTAAGTAAGCGATGACATCAGCAGAGCTGAAAGAGATTGAAAAGGTAGAAACGGCTCTCAGTCTCTCTCTGTCTCTCTTTCTCTCTCATGAAATTCATGATGTTTGCTTGTTTGCCGTTTCCGAAACTCGTTTTGAAAATATAAATGACAAATTAGGTTAGTTTGGGTCATTTGGATGATTTTTGAGCCTTTCAGATGAGAAGGAATATGAGAAGTCAATTGGTAGTTTGTCTCATCCGACATATTGATAGAGTTCCTTTTCAGTTTCTTTAGACTTGGTGGAGTCTGGCCTCAGCATCTACAGAGTACCCAAAGGCCACTGTCCAGTTAGAATTCCAATTTGGTCCTTTCAATTTTTCCGTATGGCAAAGTTTTCTATAGGTGTTACATTTTTCTTTGATGCAACTTGATCTTCTTTGATGCATTAAGCAGTGGCGGATTAAGAATTTTATTTTTACAGGGACGAACTTAATTACGTGACAAGAATTGAAAACGCAAACATAAAAATACCCATAAAAATAAGAGTTCCATTCGTATTCTTTTTTCATTCTGAAGAGGTATGGGTCTAATTTTTTGGTCGGTTTGATTCGTAGATGATTTCTCATCAACACACAAGAAAGCTTATCCTTGCATGGAATTCAGAAGAAAAGTTGAGACGTGAGTGTATATGCGTCCAAGAGATGGTATTAATACGCCAAGAGCTTTACGAAAGAAAATGGAAGATGACGAACATAGACCTAATTAATGCAACAAGTCTCCAAAAATAATTATGTTATTTTGCACCTTTCCTTTTAAAATAAAATTAGTAAAATGCAATCGAGTTATGTTACTCATGGAATGTGAGTTTTTCTGGTTGATGACAGTGTTTAACGTTGGCGCCCACAAGTTTCCAAGTAATAGCAGTTGGTAGTGCGAGAAACATTCTTGAGAGGTCCATAACTAAACAATTCATGGAGATAATAACTTGTCCTCAAGAAAATGCAGATAATAGGTTAGAGCGGCCAATTGGTACTTATTTTATTGCCATGGTCATGACCATTATATCTTCATTATTCTCACGGTCATAATTGAACAACTTTCATGAAGAAAGCAAATTCATTTAAGTAATGGAAAGCCAAAACGGGGAAGATTTAATCTAATTGCCATTGTCATAAACACTTTCACTATTACTGTCACAAACACTATCTTCAAATGCTCCCAAATTTGGATATTATGTAGTAGACATTCAAATGAACAACTTAATGAACATGCAAGTTCCTCATGATGAAAAGAAGTTCATTTGAGCATTGCAAGTTGCTCATTTGGGCAAATTGGGCAAGTTGATTGGCAAATCAAGCAGATGAACATGCTTGACTATTTGATATCCGAAGAATGCTACACTTGTCCAAATGCTCTTAAATTTGGACACGTGATGGTAGACCCCTTGATGAACAACTTTCATGAAGAAAAAAAGTTCATTTGATCTGACTAGAAGTCTGGGCCACCAAATTTAGCCATATATTGGCCATATTGCATGAATCATAATTCTTTCATTTATTCTAGGGGTCAAATTTTTAGTTTTGGCTCAAAAACTTGAGGCAACTCAATATAATTAAATTCAAAAGTAATTAGACTTTAAATTGATATATTTATTCTTCTCTCAAGAAAGGATATATATGCTACATACAGAGTGGGTACAAATAGGAAATATGTACAAAATCTCCTAATTCTACTCAAATTAGATAATTACAATACAATATAAATTTTATTCCTAACAGGAGGAAATTCTATTTCTAATAGGAATGTTGACTTTGACTCAGGTCAACACTCCCCCTCAAGTTGGTGCATAGATATCGGTAATGCCAAACTTGTTAAGTGAGTCTTCAAATCAATGCTTTGACAGGGCATGAGTCAACATATCTGCAAGCTTCTCCGAAGAAGGCACAAAAGGTATAGAAATTAACTTATGCTCCAACTTCTCCTTAATGAAATGCCGATCAACTTCTACATACTTAGTTTGTTCATGTTGAACTGGATTGTTAGTAATTTCAAATGCAGACTGCTATAACAGTGGAGCTTTGTAGCAGCATTTGGTCTAAACCGAATTTCAACAAGTAACCACCTCAACCACAGCATTTCACAAACTCCTTGGGCAATTCCTCTGTACTCAGACTCTGCAGAGGACCGAGACACAACATTTTGCTTCTTGCTACGTCATGTACTAGGTTACCGCCAACAAAGGTGAAGTAACCTAATGTAGAACGTCTATTTGTAATATTCCCTGCATAATCTGTGTTAGTGTAACCTTCTAGATTCAAGTGGCCATTTTTCTTAAATAATAAACCTCTCCTAGAAGCAGACTTTAAGTAGCTCAAAATATGCATCACAGTAGCCATATGATCCTCACTAGGTGAATGCATAAATTAGCTAGTAATGCTTACCACATAGGCAATATCAAGGCGTGTCAACAATAAATAGATCAATCTCCTAATCAACCTTTGGTATCTTTATTTGTTAGTTGGGACCTGATCCATATAAACCCCAAGTTTATGATTCTCAACAATAGGTGTATCAGCTGGTTTACAGTCAAGCATTCCATTATCTGCTAGCAGGTCCATGACATACTTCCCTTGTGAAAGAAATAATCCATGTTTAGATCAAGTGACTTCCACTCCTAAATAATATTTCAGACTGCCCAAATTTTTCATCTCAAATTCAGACACTAAATGCTTCTGCAATTCCTTGATTTCTACAGTATCATCACCAGTCATAATTATATTATCAACATAAATAATCAACAAAGTCACCTTACCAGCCCTATGTTTAATGAATAGAGTATGATCAGTATCGGCCTGTTGGTAACCAAACTTCTTCATAGCTGCAGTAAATCTGCCAAACCATGCTCAAGGAGACTACTTGAACCCATATAATACCTTTTTTAATTTGCAAAAGTTCCCAGTGTCACCAGTAACGCTATACCCTAATGGAAGACTCATGCACACTTCTTCTTTTAGTTCACCATGTGAGAATGCATTTTTTTACATCAAATTGCCTTAGAGTCCAATCTAGGTTTAATGCTAAGGACAACAAAACTCTAACAGTATTCATCTTAACCACAAGTGCAAAAGTATTATGATAATCAACTCCATATGTCTGAGTGAACCCTTTAGCTACCACAAGTGCAAAAGTATTATGATAATCAAATCCATATGTCTTGCCTTGTACCTCTTCATAGTACAATCTGCATTATATTTAACTGTAAACACCCATCTACATCCTATAAGCTTCGTTCCTTTTGGTAATTCAACATCGTCCCATGTATTATTTTTCTGCAGTGCCTCTATTTCAGTATTCACGGCTTCAGTCCACTTTGGATTATTAAATGCCTTATCAACACAGGTTGAAATATTAATACTATCGATTCTAGTCACAAACGCTTTGCACTCAAGAGATAACCTGTGATCAGACATATAATGGGAAATAGCATATCTTGCTTTGTCTTCTGGTGAGTAATGATCAAGTGGAACTCCACGGTTTCGTCTAGGCAGTAGAACATAAGAATTATCAGCAATATGAATAGAAGTACTTACCTCATGAATATCCAAGGGAGCTTGATAAGGTATTATTAGAGAATTTTATGGGGGCAATCAGTTCAATGACAGCAGCAACATCCATAAAAACATATAAACATCGATTAGCAGGATGATAGCACTAGTAGTGTTTCTGATGAGGAGAGAACAAAGGTCCAACTTACTCATCTGATTCCGATGGAGGTGAACATAAACGACACAACCAAACATTTTTGGAGACAGAGTTAGCATAGAAGAGACAGCGATATGATGGGTCAGTACCTACATAGAAGTTCAGAAATCCAAAACTAGTGAAGGTAGACGATTCAAGAGATAGACTGCATTGCTAATAGCATCCATCTAGAACCGCTTTGGAACTGACGCACCAAATAGTATAGTAAGGGCAACAACAAGGATCTACCCATTTTTACATTCAGCGACCCCATTCTGTTGTGGTATTTGAGGGCAAGTAGTCTCATGGAGCACACCCTTAGTGTGAAAAAAGGGATAACGCTGAATTAACAAATTCTTCATCAATATTAGATTGAAAAACCTTGATAGGGAGCATTGAGTATGAATCATCTGATAGAAACACTGAAATTTTTTGACCACATCACATTTATTTTTCATCCCATATAACCACATCATATGAGTGCAATCATCCACAAATAACACAAACCAGCCAACTCCCAAGGCTATAAAAACACGGAAAGGTCACCAAACATCGGAAAAAACTAAATCAAATGACATAAGTCGTTTATTACAACTCGAAGGGTAGGATACCCGATGACTTTTAGCTAAAATACAACTTTAACATTGGAAAGCAAACTCGTTGACACCACTAAATAGTGCAAGAAACAAATGTTGTAAATATCCAAAAGGGGCATGACCAAATTGGCTATGTAGCAACCAAATCTAGCAATGCTGAGAAGTTAAGAACCCGACTAGTTGTCACGTCATCGACATAATAAAGCCCCCCATTTTTAGTACCAAGACCAAAGATCTCCCGAGTCTGGAGATCCTGTAGTAAAATAGAAGACGAATACATCAGTATAGTTTAACTGCTCAGTAACTTACGGCACAGATAATAAATTACTAGACAAAGATTGAACCAGTAACACTCTGTCGAATGGTAAAATAGGTGTCAAGAGTACATAACTAGCCCCATTACAGAAGCAGCAGTATTATTAGCAGTCAGAACATGATTAAGATGAGGCAAAAGAGTAGTATAGAATAAAGCAGAATTATACATCATATGGTCAGTAGCTCCTGAATCAATAATCCAACCTATATTGCATGTGTCATAGGTATGGAAAGCCGTGCCAAAGTTACTTGGAGGAAGCGATGTTAGAGTGCTTGAGACGACGGTCACTACCGGAGCAGGAGTAGTGATAAGGTAGCCTTACCCAGTGGTGACGTCAGCCACATGAGTGGCGGTAGCAACCATATGAGCTTTGCCGCCCAGTTGTTCCTTTTTTAAACACCTATGTTCTTTCTCATAATTTAGTACCCCATGCAATGCCCAGCATATGTCAATAGTATGTCTCTTTTCACCATAGTGATCACACTTCAGTTTGTCTTTTTCAGCATAAGTCAGGCTATGAGGCGGACTTGAGGAAGAGTCAGACGCTATAGGCTGAGAAACTGGAGCAGTGTTTTTAGAAGCAAACACAACAGCAGGTTCCCTAATATTGGTGCCGAATTCAAGAATAGTAATCTGGCATTGAGCTTCTGGACGGATCATAAAAAGGACATTTTCGATACTTGGAACTTTATTACTCTATAGAATATCACTGCGAACCTTGTCATAAGTATCGTCAAAGCCAACCAAAATATCATACACATGATCTACCATAGCAGCAGCCTGAAAAGTCTTTATATCATAAGCACACTTCATCTGAAAAGAACGCCTCTTGTCTAATTCAAGCCAAATTACCTTAAGTTCGGCGAAATATGTAGAGAGACGACCCTCTTACTTGAGACGAGTAGCCTGGCACCGCAGTTCATAGAGTTGGGATATGTCAGAGCCATCATAAAACATCTGATTAATAGGATCCCAAATTTCCTTAGCAGTAGGTAGAGTATGAAACATATTCAACAAACTCGGTTCCATAGTTCGCAGCATCCAACTTTTCACAATAGCATCAGCAATTTTCCACAAATTGTGGGTCTTGGGAATCAGGGGCATTAGTGTCACCAATCAAGTAACCCAATTTGCCTTATGTAGTAGCATGTAGTTCAATCATTGAAGTCCATATCTCATAGTTGAATCCATTCAATTTGAATCCCATGGGTAGATTGGTGGACGATTCAGTATGAACCATTACAATATGGGCAGAAGAAGATTTAGTGACATCCGGCATAGCGATAAATGGTGACAACAGTAGAAGATTAGGTGGCGACAACAACAGTAAGAGATATGAGACAGCGCATGTTTGGGTGTATAGGCTAGGTGTAGTGGAAAGAGGTATTTTTTTACGATTAGGGTTTTGATGTTGCAGAGACAGATCGGAACCCGCTTTGATACCAACTCAAAAGTAATTAGGGTTTAAACTGATATGTTTATTCTTCTTTCAAGGAGGGATATATATACTACATATAGAGTGGGTACAAATAGGAACACTACTACAATTTTGTTAAACTACGACACCTAATAGACAACCCTTTAAAAACTGTCGTGGTGTTTTAAAAGATGACGAATGTTATAAAACCGTCGTGGTAAGGTACCTAATACACCGATGTATTGGGTTGATTTTTAAAATTACGATGATACCTTATTAGGATTGTCGTGTTTTTAGGAGGCGCTAAAAGAAAATTCACTTTAAATAAGCTAGCGCCTAGCTTTTTAGAAACCCCTCGCTCGCTCAAAACACTGTTCTATCTCAAATTCTCTCATGAACCTTTCAGAAAGGCCTATCTCTCTCTCAGCAATGAAGCACATCTCCCTCTCGCCGTCCACCGAACTCGCCGAGATGGCCATCTCTGTCACACCATTTAGGACACCGAGTTCACCAAGATCGCCATCTCCATTGCACCGTTCAGTCCACCGAGCTCACCACGTTCGCCATCTCCCTCGTGCTTTTGATGTGCTCGTAAATTCGAGATTTATCTATGATATTTCTCAATGTTTACACCTTTATTTTACTCTTTTATATACGTTTTACATTCTTTTGTTACTTTTTTAGGTAATCATAAGCGAATGGTGGAAAATGAGCTAAAAATAGAAAGTTGATTTTGAAAGGCTTGTGCAAACAAGTCAAGTTTGCGGATTATACTGTACTGACTCAGGAAGAACCAAAAGCTAAGACACATGTTCTTGGAAAGCTACGGATGTCTCTTTTCTGGGGAATTTTACAGTTCATAAATATCATTTTTCTAGAAGAAGTTATGGTGGTTTTAGTACAGGTAGTTCAAGCTGCGTGTGAATTTGAAATCTTTTCTGAAGTCCAAGTTTTGAGGCCCAAATCACATCAATTGGGCCAATGAGGGATATTCCTATTTCCCAGGGGTTTATATATCTGAATAAAAAATATGTAGGGTTTCAGAAATGTGGAGAATACAAGAAGCAACAAAATTTTCTTGTGAAGGAAAGAAAAGGCGGCTGCTGTGTGAGAGGGGAGCTGATTTTTGAGTCGTAAAAATAGAAAAAAGAAAGGAGAAGAAGAGGGCAGCCACACCATTCCGTTCTCCTCCATCCTTCAAGGTTCCAAGGTTTGAAAGGCTTAGGAAGCAAGGAGGAACGTCAGGGCGTCATCCAATCACTCTGGCTGACCAACACATCATCAAAGAGCTATCTTCTTCCTTCTTATTTTATGTTTTGTATGTTCTTGCTGTCTATTTAAATTATGGGTAACTAAGTACTTTAGTTAGGGCTTGATTGAAGCCTTAATCATGTTTCTTTAAGGATTTCGATATGCCTTTACTGTAAACTACTTTTGTGATGCTTAATTGATTAATTTCAGATTATATTTTACTCTTTACATACGTTATGTTATTCTTGATCACCATATTCATGTTGTGTATTGAGTTTGTTACATAGGTAAATTTAGATGACCGAGTCTTGTGCCTGTGAAAGTAACAAAAGAACTAGTTATAAGTTCTTGAAATTAATCATGATGAATAACTAGAATAGATACCACGTTCCAGGAGTTGTGTGTTTGTCTATTTCCATTGTGTCATGCATTCTTAAAGTGCAACTTAGTAGATAACATGCTAAATACTTTAAGAATGAAAAGAGTTAGCATAGATACCCATACCTAACTTGTTGCTTAGGAAAATCAATAATTTAAAGAGTAGATATCATGCCTTTAGGTTGACAAATATGAGCATCTAAAATCTATTTTGTAGCATTGTGCATGTCATTTGCTTAAGGAAGAAGATTAGCGGTGAACATCGAATCCCTAACTAGTTTTTTCATTGTTTTAACCTCAATCCAATTCTATTTTTAATCAAACGCTGTTTTTAATATTTTGTTTTGAAATTTTCAGTTTTCAAAATCATCTTAAAATCATCCTTTTGAACACCTTGTCTACACCGAGTGCTTTTGTTTATTGCTTAACTTTGATTAGAAATCTTAGGGTTTTGAAATAAGTTATTTTTAGGGGTTTCTTTTACTTTTGTATTCTTAGTTTGTGCCATTTAGTTAGTAGTTCTAGAAAATTAGTTTTAATCACATATTAATCCAATCCTCGTGGGAATGATATCGTTTTTACTTTCTATACTATTTGTTTGATCTTGTGCACTTGCGAGTTAAAACGCGCATATAGTTGCTTAATTTTTAGGTCGCTATTTGTACAATAGCTTTCCATGGCAGTTACCCTTCCTCATCGCAACCATTTTTAAGCCCTCAAATGGATTCTCATCTTCCATTTACGAGCTTTAGATTAGATCTTCTTTTTGTAGACCAGAAAGGTACGAACGTACTTTTCTAGGGTTAGCTTAGGATTCTTCTTATTTGATTTCAATTTTTATTTTTTCTTGTTTATGATGGTTGTTTGTCTAAGATATAGGGTTACGATTTTTTTGTTCTTTAATTTCGGTGCTTATTGATGTATGTTTTTGTGGTTGAATCTGACTTGATTTAAGCTGTATATAGTTTAGTGGTTGCATTTTTTTAACCTTTTTGCTTTTATTTTGTTCAGAAATTCTAGTTCATATGTTTTTTTTTAACCTTTTAGTGTTTGGTTGTTGAGTTGCAGGGCCCGGAAAGTGGCCATGGTTTTAAGATTATGCAATTAGATGAGTTTCTTGTTTGGCTTGAAATCCTAACCATGATTTTGGGAGGCTAAATATGTCTCCAAAAAATACGAGATTATGATAAGACTATCCATTTGTGTAAAATAATTGGTACTAAATGGGGCTCTGCTTAGAACTCACAGATAATCTTAAATTTAACTTGGATTTTGAATTTCTCTTGTGTTTGCAATTGAATTTCTTGTTTTTATTTCTGGATGTGCCTTGTGCAGGTTTTACGTTTGCAGAAAGTCGATGCACATGTCAACACTATCCATGAACTCTCAGTTGTAATGTCAATTGATTTCTCTAAGAAAGTCAATGAAGTCCACTCAAGCTTGAGTGATCACTCTTCTGCTCATTCTAAGAACTCTCAGGTTTTACATTTGACTTACCATTTGGCTCTCATTCTTACTGTTTAATTTGTTAATTTGGCATCTGCATATTTGTTAAAATCATCGTCTGTGCAATAACTAGGTGATGACATAACTAGATACTTGTTGCATTTGTTAAATCAACTACTGTTTCTGATTTTCCCCCATCAAGTTGAAACCATGGTTGATTGTCGTACTGCCCCATGGTACAACAACTACAAGTATCATTACATGGAATTCAACAAGTAATTTTCTAACGCGTAATTTCTGATTTAATAAAATCTTTGCTCCTTGAAACCAATAAAGAAAAAGTTTTGTTGGTTAAAAAATTCCTAAGCTCCTCTGGCTTTTGTGGATCAACTGAATTGGTATGAGTAAATGAAATTTTGTATGAAAATATTTCGAAATAGTTGAGATGACAAATGATACTGAAAGCACACACTATTTTGGCATTTGTACTTTAACTAAGTATCTTCAGCATTGGAGCATGAGTATCTGGTTTTTTATTTGCTACCATATGGATTCAATTGTTAGACTTATAGTCTGAATTCATTGTTATTATCTCCCTTGTTTCACTTGTATATGTTTAGCTAGTACTGGAATAGTTTATGTGAGGTGGATGAGGTAAGAATTATGGTCTAAACTTTAGTTAATCTAACTTTTCTAGCTGCTGTTTTTCTCTAGTTATGATCGTGTAGGCTACTTTTTGCCCAGTTAGGCCAAGTCATTGCCTTGTCTATTATAACGATCCGCTAAAGTAATGTAACTTTGGAAGTTATGGTCATATTTTCTTCAATTCTGTTGACGTATGAGTTGTTTATTTCAGGTCCTGGCTCTTAAAGGATCTTATCATGGTGATAATTTGGGTGCTATGGAAGCACAAGCACCATCATCTTATACTGGCTTCCTCCAACGACCATGGTATGAATTTTCTGTCACAAGATACTTGAAATATTCCAAATCTGTATACTTATATCTCAACTTTTGGAGTTAATCAGCATCCATTAGAGAATATAGTACTCTTACTCCAGGTAGGCATTATTCTATTGATCTATGATTCTCATTGTTTCAAGTTAAGTAATTATATTAGGTAGCACTATATTAATAATCCTTTTATTATTGGTAATGTTATCTGGATTGTATATCTTACTATTACATTATTTTGGCTTGTTAAGCAGTTTCCTATGGAAGTGATTCTAATGAAGCTACTCCTAGTGGTAAGAGTTGAAGAAATGCATAGGAAAATTGGTGATGATGAATGTATAGCTCTGTATACATATGGATAACTTGACTTGAAGGATAATTAAGTATATGAATTTTGGTGTATTTATTGTGATTAGGCTTGCAGCTTGCAGCTAGCGGCCCTAGAGTACTTTCATTTTTTAGATTTTATTTTGTTCTATTGTACTCTTGATATTCTATTTATGAAAGAAACAATTTTTGAGTATATATATGTATGGCGTGGGTAATAGCATATTTGAGTATATATTTCTGATACTATTGGAAACAACAACAAAAAAACTAAAATGTAAAATTACGTTAGTTTTATAGTTAATAACCTCGTCTTAGAGTTAATAGACGATAATATTTCAAGAAACCGTCGTCTTTACATTTAATAGATGATGGTTTTTTAAACAAACTTGACGTCTTTGGATATAATAAACGACGTCTATTACATATAAAGACGACGGTTCTTTCAGAAAAATAATCGTCTTTACATGTAATTAACAGTTGTTTATTGCATGTAAAGACGACTATTTTTCTATTTCAATTTTTTAGTAGTGGAAATATGTACAAAATCTTATAATTCTACTCAAATCAGATAATTACAATAAAATATAAATTCTATTCAAAATATGAGCAAATTCTATTCCTAATAGTAACGTTGACTTTAACTCACGTCAACAATTAATACGGGGCCAGATCTGCTATCTTCAAATATTGGTGCCCCTCCGTGTCCCTTTCATATTTGTCTGACATGTGTCCAGTCACATAACTTCAACTTAACTATGTTAAATTCAATTCTTTTTCCAAATAAATAAGTAAATGTAAACCACAAAATACTGCAAAACCTAGCCATACTCCATTCGCCTCCATGCTAATAGATCAACACAAAGTTCATAAACCCAATAGCATATTGAAATATTTAGAAAGATCCATACGAGTCAATTATTATAATTCAGACCAAGTACACCACATTCGTTCAAAACCCAATACAGGGTTGAGCTTTGAATGTAGGAAAGAGTTCTCGATGAATGACCAACAACAAACAAACTTTGGTATTTGTTATCGTGTAAGAAAAAGGCTTCTCTGTTGGCTTCGCAGAGCATTGGTGGTGGGTATTTCCTTCGTATTAGTGAAAAAATAGTACTTAATTTTCTGTTAGTGGATGGACACGTGTCTAATAAATAATAAAGGGACACCAAGGATAGAACCACAGCAGATCCAGACTCCTTGCTTTTTCTCTTTGTCCCTCTCTTCTTCTTCCTTTTCCTTTGTCTCCCTCTCTTGTTCTTCCTTTTCTCTCTTTTATTTCTCTCTCTGCTTTTCTGTTGTTCTCTGCTAAGTCTCTTTTTCTTCCTCAGATTTTCTTCTCCTCTTTCCTAAAGTTTTCGGTTTCGGTTTCAGCAAGAATAGAACCATAGCGAGATGGAATCTATTTTTTCGATTTTTCTCTTATGAAAAAGAGAAGAAGATAGAATCTACTTTCTCGAGCAGCACTCAACAACCAGACAAATAGTCTTGAGCAATAATAAAAGGTAAGCAGTTGCAGGCTTGTAGCATAGTTAAAGAATATTTGGCTCATCTTGCCAATCAAGCAGACATCCCTCATCCATCTTTTACACTTCCATTTTTCCTAAAATTTTGTATAACAAATGAGCATTGCATTTCAACAGATTGATTGCTCCCTTCCCTATAATAAATTCCAGATGTGATCGATGTGCTCTTTTGATTAAGCTTATACCAAAATAAGGCCATTATGGTGTCAGTTTCAGCAGACCTATTCATTGGCAAATTTGTAGCCATTCTTGAGAGTGAAGCAGCCTCCATAGCGGGTGTTCGTGATCAAGTTGATGTGATTAAGCAGGAGCTGGTATTCATGAAATCCTTCCTAGAGGATGCTGACCGCGGAGAGCAAGCACACACACAAGTACAGAAAGCGTGGGTCGCAAGCTTCCGAGACTTGGCCAATGATGTTGAAAACATCATTGATGAATTCATGTATCACATGTATGAGCAGCAAATCGGCGGTCGATTTGGAAGGTGGATCCGCAAAACCGTTCACTTTCCCAAGAACCTTTGGTATAAGCGTCAAATAGCCAACAAGTTGCAGAAAATCACCGTGGCCATTAGAGCTATTCCAGAGAGAAATCAGAGATATGGTGGTGCTGCAGCTGTAGAAGGAAAAAGTACTTCTGAGGATATTCGAAGATGGGTGCGGAACCAAGCGGAGTCTTCTCTTTATCAGAAGGAGGATGAACTTGTCGGGATTGAAGGCAATAAGAACATGTTACTGGGATGGCTGATGGATGAAGTGAAGCACCAAACTGTTGTGTCCGTGGTCGGGATGGGAGGATCAGGGAAGACAACTCTAGTTGCAAGGACCTTCAAAGATGACATTGTAAAGAGACATTTCGAATGCTATGCCTGGATTACTGTTTCCCAGTCTTATGTGATTGATGACTTACTTAGAAGATTGATCAAAGAATTCCACAAAGCAAAGAAGGAAGAGGTCCCTGCAGACATGAATGCCATGAGTTATAACGAATTGCTGGAGATTTTGGTGAACTACTTGGAGACTAAAAGGTACCTAGTTGTATTGGATGACGTGTGGGATGTCCACCTTTGGGACAAAATAAGGTTTTCATTTCCAGATAAACAACTTGGAAGTCGAGTCATGCTTACAACTCGAAGAGAAGACATAGCATCCTCTTCTTTTGGAGTTGAAAGCCATGTTCACAAGATTCAACCGCTGGAAAGGGGTGATGCGTGGGAGCTCTTTAGCATGAAAGCATTCTCAAGTTACCCTAACAAATCTTGTTCACCTGAACTTCTTCCATTAGCTCGGGAACTTGTAGAGAGGTGTGAAGGCCTACCTCTTGCGATTGTAGCCTTGAGTGGTCTCATGTCTTCTAAGAACTCACTTACAGAGTGGAGCACTGTCTACCATAGCTTGAATTGGCATCTCACAAATAATTCTTTGCTAGAACCTATGAAGATGCGCATCTTGTTGTTTAGTTTTAATGATTTGCCATACCGACTGAAGCAATGCTTTCTATATTGTTCCCTTTTCCCTGAAGATTATGTGATCATAAATAATAGGCTCATTAGATTGTGGATCGCTGAAGGATTTGTTGAACATGTCGAAGGGCTCACGCCAGAAGAAGTTGCAAATAGCTATCTTATGGAACTCATTTTTCGTAACATGCTACAGCAAAGGTTTCGAGAATACCTCCCATCATGTAAGATGCATGATCTTTTGCGGGAGATTGCTCTGTCTATAGCAAAAAAAGAAAAGTTTGGCGATGTACATGAGGGGAGTGAAACAGTAGAAGAAACTGGGGCACTCCGTTTGTCAATTCAAACAACTAATGAAGAAATTGGAGCAGGCATAGGTATATCACGACTCCGTTCATTTCTCGTCTTTGCCACTGGCGTATCCTCGTTCTCTTTCTCAAATAAATTACCTTTTGACCTTAAATTGTTGAAGGTTCTAGATTTGGAGGATGTCCCAATAGATAATCTGCCAGACAGAGTAACATGCTTATTCAATTTAAAATATTTAAGTTTGGTGGAAACTCTAATTAAGGAGCTTCCAGAATCCATTGGACAGCTCCGCAACCTTCAGACCTTGAACATCATGGGGACAAAAATAGAGGCACTTCCAAGAGGGATTTCTAAGTTGCTAAACTTACGCCATTTACTTGTGGGTGGGTTCATTTCCGGATATTTTATTGGGGTAAGAATACCATCAAGTATTCGTAAGATGAAGAAATTGCAATCTTTGGCGTATATTGTATCAGAAGGAAACGTTATTAGACTTATTGGAAGTATGACCCAGCTTACGTTCCTTGGCATTACAAATGTGAAAGAAAGAGACGAGGAGGACCTATGTGCCTCAATTCAAGAGATGAAGGTCCTTTCCCGCTTGTTTTTATTTGTAGCTGATGGAGAGGAATTTCTTCGAGTTGACGCATTGTCTTCACCGCCTCCCTACCTTGATAGACTTGACTTGATCGGCAAACTGGAAAAGGTACCGCATTGGTTTTGTTCACTCCATTCTCTCGCATATTTGAATCTGCGTAGGTCCAGGCTTGAAGAAGATTTACTACGTCATATTGAAGCGTTACCCTCTCTACGTTTTCTTTTCCTTGAAGATGCCTCTGTTAGGAAAGAGTTATGTTTCAGCAGAGGCTTTGTGAAGCTTGGGTATTTGCGGTTGCAGAATCTCGCATTATTAAATAAGATAACTATAGAAAAAGGGGCGATGCCAAATCTCGAGTTCTTAAGCATTCATAGTTGCTTGACATTAGAAACATTGCCACAGGGTATTGAGCACCTTACTAAACTACAACGATACAGATTTGATAATGTTTCAGAGCAGTTTATGGAGTCCATAGAAGAAGGAGGTGTGGATCATGCAAGGATGCTACTCGTCGACGAGAGATGTAAGAAATATACGTAAGTATCTTTTATCCTTTCTCTGACTTTCCTAAACTTAATGATTTGGAATATTGCACTTGTGTTCACATCTCTGTTAATGGATGTTTTGTTTGTTAATTACAATATTGCTTTTGTCTTTTCATATATTTGCAGAAACATATACAGCAATTGAAGATTTTACCGATGAGTTTGGTGGTGGGAAGGACTTGTTCGTCTTATTTTGACCCCCCAAGACTTGTTCGTCTTGGTGGGAAGAACTTATTTGCTCGTTTTGAAAATCAAATAATACCAAGTTGATGTTTTTTGGCGTGTTTTAATTTGCATGTAATAATATTCAAGTATGCATCCGTCACTTCAGCAATTGGCAGATGTATGTCAATGATTAGCTTTTAAGATTTGGGCAATGGGATCTTTTATGTTCGGTGTGTTTGTACTTTCTTTTATGTTAATTAATTGTGTTTGTACTTTCAGGTTAGCTATGTATTCTTAACTGCTTTCCAATATCTCTTTAAAAAAAATGAGAAACCCTGCAGAACCCTCCCACCCACGAGAAAACTTTCCTACAACAGAAATGTCACTGTGGCGATATCCTAAGCTAATACGTCCATGTGAGAAAAGTAAAATATTGTAATGCATGATTGATTTGAAATACCGCCACAGTGGCATATCGGATGTAGGTAAGTGATCACCTCCTTCATCAACCCCTCCATTTATTATTTCTTCTTTTCTTATTATTTGATATATACATTTTTCGTTTTTAAAGTATTTCTTAGGTTGTTAATTTAAGGCGTAAAATACTCAGTATTTGAACAACTTAATGAACATGAACAAATGAATAACCTAATGAACATGCAAGTTCCTTATGAAGAAAGGAAGTTCATTTGAGCATTGCAAGTTGCTCATTTGGGCAAATTGGGCAAGTTGATTGGCAAATCGAGCTGGTGAACATGCTTCAGTATTTGATATCCTGAGAATGCTACGCTTGCCCAAATGCTCTCAAATTTGGAAACGTGATAGTAGACCTCTTGATGAACAACTTTCATGAAGAAAGAAAGAACACATTTCATCTGACTGGAAGTCTGAGCTACCAAATTTAGCCATATTGAATTTGAATAAGGTAATGATATTAAACAATTTTGCTACATGGTATCTTCTAGAGGTCGTTGAGATTTTTGAGCGAAGAATTGTTGGTGTCTCCAAACGACGGCGTTGTTTCCGGGTCTAAGGATTGGAGTAGATAGTAGGTGGAGATGAGGAGTCTCTGGGTGAGGGTTTTGCGATGGCTAGCTTGAAATGGGATTGAGCAAACTGTGGATCGGAGAATATGAGAGAATGCCACCGTAATTTCTTCAGGGAGGTGGTGCTTGGGGTGGAGCTTCTTCGTCGACATTGGAACCTTGCAAAGGAAAGCTGATTTGGGAAATTTTACCCTCTAAAATCCACAGCCAATCCAAGGGTTTTGGGAAGCTGATTTTCAGTTTTCAGAGCATTTCTCACAAAAAAGACCCAAGCTTGACCGCTTTTGACTCTCAGAAGAAGGACCATAATTGATTTTCTTCCATTTTCTTTTTCAAATCATGACAGTAGATGCAGTGGTGCTGACTCTGTATGCAGAACCGCTGAGGCCAATGGGTTTTTGGGTTGGCCTAATATAAAATCGCGCCTCATTGTCGATTGGACTTGGGCTCTTCAAGTCTGTTTGCTAACAGAAAAACTGTCTTTGAAATACAATATGCTTGAGTGTCCACAGAATTACTGTGAAAAAAGAAATTGGCCTTTTTCATTTGTTCGATTCTTGCTTAGTGGAAAAGGGTATTTATTTGTAAATTAATGGTCTTAGGTTTAAACCTTCTTGACACTTTGGTAGTGTACGTGTGTGTGAGACAACCCCTTCGTCTAATAGTTTAGATTATTGCAAGTATTCAAAAAATTATTAGTTGTTTAACTTCTTAATTAATATAATAAGAGCATATATTTACTCCAACATTATAATCAAAGACATCAATATGACATCTAAAGTACCAATCTCAAAAGGACAACAAACTAATATGTTAAAAACTAAAGCGGACAAAAGTCATACTAAAACTATTAGTCTACATCACCACAATTAATCATAAGTCCAAACAAGGCGTTTGAGTGTGCTTCAAATTAAGTGAAAATGTATAAGAAACATTCCACATTATACCCCACTTGGTTAGGGATCACATGTAAAAAAACTATCAAAGATTTCAAAATAGTCAAGGAAGTTAGAGCATCCACAGTAAAGGGGTATATAATGAGGTGTATGTTAAATATACACCCTTTGTGATCGGAATCGCCCGCAATGCGGAGGTGTAAACAAGTGTAAATTTGCATCACCACCATGATATGCAAATTTAGATGTTGTTGAGGCCCAAAAATCCAAGGACTAGGCCCAAGTTTATTCTTAGCCCAACACGAATAAATTGATTGTGAAAGAAACCCAATCAAGACATAAGAGAAATTGTGGGATGCACCCACATAAGCCGTGGGCCATGCGTCATGCCAAGCAAACATGCGCAAAAGAATAAAAAAATGCACCGGCTTTATAAATTCATGCTCACCAACCTATTCGATGCCACTTGGCCCGATCATAGCTCAATGCGGTACAACAAAGCTCAAGCACAAGCATGTTAAATAAACACGCGATGCCATGCAAAGAACCACTATTCCAATACCAAGTCATGCTACAAGCTTAAGTGTGCCCAAGACACATAATTACCCGAGGCTTGCTGAGAAGGTTGTGGTATGGAAGGGAACAAGCAATCACAGGGCCCATTGAGGGTTCGAGGAACGAAAGTTTTAGGCCACTTGGGAGTATTAAAAACTCAAACTCGTTCCTCGGACCCAAACACATGGGTTAGCATGAGAGAGGGGAAAAAGTGATCTAATGCCTTAGGAAGACATCTAGTAGTCTGCTATAACACTTAGACAAACCCACATCAATAAAATGCCCAAATTAAATAAGCCATTTCCAGTAGCCTGACAAAAACCCATTAGATGCTGGAAATAATATGCTAAAAACTCAATACTGTACACACAAGCCCAGCCCAGCAACTTTGTAAAAAAATCTGGCATTATGCTTCACCTTTGTTAGAACTCCAATATGGTCAACAAGGAGCCATGGCAGGAACCAAAGGAAATCCATGAATATAGGAATAATACCCATCGAACAAAAGACTCTACCTATCTTCCTTTTCCACTGTAAGCGTCATTTTGAAAAACCAAGAAGGAAAGCAGGTGGCGCCTCACCCTCATGGGGAGGTCCAGCCACACAAAACCCTTGGAACCCCAAAGGGCTTCTTACCCATGTGCCTTGGATAGGAAAATTTCACCAAATAGGATCAAGTGGGAAGAAGCAACGAGAAAGAGAGAGGGAGGTTAGATAAAATTAGGGTTCTTTGTGCCTATAAAAGGAGAGCTTCCTCTACCTAGTAAGATCATCATCCAGGGCCTGACCAAGCTTTGTCAAGCAATTGAGAATTTGCTCAAGCCACCCAATCTTCTTCTTCGGTCGTTTTCTTCTTTCCTTGAGATAAAGACCTTCTTAATTTTCCTCTGCCTTTGTTCTCTATAAAGAAACTCATGCTTCTCTATCTCTGAAATTGCTAAACTTGTGAAAGCTTAGCTCACATACCACAAGCTCCTCAAGCCAAGTCATTCATCAATTTATTATGTTTATTTGGCTATTTGTGAAAAGAACCTAAGAGAGTTTTTCTAAAGTCTCATCAAACTCTTCAAAAACTCTTTTGGGAGCTTGGTTTTCGAACTCAGGCATTGGGGGAATTCTGTTCGTTTTCTTCTTACGGCTGCCCAAGCCCATTCGTCAGGCTGCTGGAACGAAAAGACCCCTACAGATGTACATGTACATCTTTTTTTACATCTCTTGCAGGTGGCACCCATTTGAAAAAATGTGAGATAAAGTGGAGAAAAGTCAACAAAAAAGTTGTTAGACCAAAATTCATATGTGGGCCCATTTTTTGGTTGTCATCTCCCCCCCTCCCCCAATGACTACATTGTTGGACCAACAGCTTTAATTTTCAAAAATAGTCAGCTTTAATTTTTTTTGGATGAAATCATATCTTCTCTAAATTTAAATATTTTTAGGTCTATTTGTTTGAAAAAATAAAATTAACCTAATACACAAAAAATTAATTTTATAAAGTTCACAAAAAATAAAAATTTAACACAAAAACGAATTAAGACCAACAAAAAAAAATGTACATTTTTAGATTTGCACCTTTCCCATTGGAGCAAAAACTGCATTTACAACCCCCGGATGTGTAAAGGGGATGTAAAAGAGGCTTTACACATGATAACTTTTCCACTTTGCATATAATGATTGGCAGGAAATAGCAAAACAATGATATCCCCATTTCACATAAGTATTTCTGCACTTTTGAGGCTGCGAAAGTGCATCCCTTCATTAAGACTTGGTTTCTGTCAATTGCCAACAATTCTTGCATCTTTCAAAATCTCCCCATTGGATGACATTAGATTAACAATTGTTGTAACCTTTGTGAAATACTTCTCAATGCTTTCACTTTATTGCATCTCACTTCTCATATTCTCTCCTCAAATTTTGGAGTTGAACTTTCTTCACACTTTGTTTGATAGGTGGTTTGAATTGACTCCCATGCTTCCTTTGGATTTTCAGCTTTGGAAATTCTCTCATACCCTGGCATCTCAATTGTTTGATAGATGTGGAAAAGTGCCTTGTTATCCTTCTTTCAATTTTCCTTCAATACATTTCTTTGTGCTTTGAGTGAGTGTATGTTCATTTTCAGGCTCCTCATAATTGTCTTCAACCATATTCCACAACTCCATGGCTTTTAAAAGCACCTCCACATTGTTGCTCCAATAATCGTAATTGTCACTGTTGAATCGAGGAATAAGTGAAGCCAAATTGTTCCCATTGCTTAAGTTTGCATTTGCCATATTGAAAGTATTTCAACTAAGCTATGATGCCAATATGCAGGAAGAAGAGAAACAAACAATACAAATACACACTAATTTCTTGGGAGAATAGGCTCTTTGATTTCAATTCAACTCAACAAATAACATTAATAAAGACCTATTTAAAGACTTCTCTTATCATAACCGTTTAACTCACTCTCACATATACTCTCTCATAATTAAAGACTCTTCATCAGGCCACTAATGCATTAAACTGACTCTTTATTCCATTCACTAATATATGAACGCATTAAATCAGAGAATAAGAAAAGACTCAACATAATAACATATTGAAACTTCTTGAATGCAATAATGATACATATTTGGTTTAGGGATTGGTTTAGTTCTCCAACGAGGTTGGGTATCAAAATTGGAGAAGATGAGATTGGTGATATTATGAAGGGATCCAACTATACCCTAGTTATACTAGGGTTTTGACTAGCAAGACAGTGAAGCGGGAAGGTTTTGTAGGAGTCTTTCACACCTACGGCATGGTGCGGATGGGGTATCGATAAAGGAGATAGGGGTACACGGCATAGAGGGCATTTTTGTCCATCATGGTGTTGTTTTCATTTTTGTTGAAAGTATATTGTTTGCTATGTTCACATTATTAGTTGATTTCATGAAAAACCCTTTTTGTTTTCATGTATAAAAAATGTGTTTTTGATTGACTATATGTTTAGTTGTAACTTGTAAGTAGACAAATCACATCACCTCCAATGCAAGCCCCCGCTAAAGCATGGCAAATAACCTACACAAACGAGTTGTTCTTTTGCTCACTCTCAAAGTTATCTAGGTTAGAGGTTAGACTCAGCTACCTTACAACATCATTTGTTCTCAACTTCTCGTCCACAATTCACAGCATGAGTAAGATTGTAAAAGCAATGATCTCAAATAGAATTTAATTTATTTTGAAATGACTAGCTAGCTTGTCTCTTGTAGCTAATATATTAAATAGAAAATTGCGGAGAAACCAACCCCAAAACCCCAAGAAAACTAACCAGAGCACTACTATTCCAAACTAAAACTCCCACTTAATCTGAAATACCCCCAAAACTCATATTTATTCCTATTAGTAGTAATTTTTTTCCCTAGACAACTTATATTATAAACCAGAAATTCTGTTTCTGATATCACTATAGCCTGCAAAATCTGATCTTCGGCAGGGACTTTGCCGAACAAGCTTAATCACAGTAGTAGCAATACTCTTTCTCCCTTTTTCGTGGGTAATTTCTGAACAACATCCATCTCAGGCTCCTCTCTCCAATCAAACACTTGTTTGTGAACCCCACAGATGAAAAGCAGATTTTGCTAAAATCTGCTCCAAAACTGCAGCTACAAAAACTGCAGCAATATAGTAAGTGGTCGGCGGATTCGATACACGTTTGACAAGACACGTTGTATGCTTCCTTCAAATCCCCAATTAGTCATTCTGTACTTGGTGGACACTCTCTGTTACTGATAGCAACTCATGTTCTCAAGCTACTATACTTTTTGGTGTCGATTAAAGTTTATAGTAAATTTGGACAAGGGCCTAATTGCTTTTTAACTTGTCTTTAGCCTTCAAAATTAATTATGTTCTTCCTTTGTGAAATTCTTGACATGCGTCCACATGCTAAAAAACAAGTGATCGTGGCATGGTTGACATGGACCCAGACAGAGGTGGCACACACCTTCTTTTGTCTCGGGCCCACTTCTTTGTCCATTTGTCATATAACCAACAACAAAAGTGGTATTTGAGGGGCATGATGGGTCCCAAAGACACGGCCAATTTTATATAGTGAGAAAGAGTATGCAGTGAGAAAGAAAATGGCAAAAGGAGAAGGATACTGATTGCTTCCTTCCTTGTACGGAGATGTTCCTCATTCTTACGAGTCACAATTTGACATATATAAAAATAATTCATCAAAATTATAAATAATAAAAAATTATGTACATATATTACACTGTTATTGACAAGAAAATAAAAACTTCTGCTTACATAATAAATAGAGAAGTATTTTCCAAAACGGAATACTTTTATAATTTGTTTTTATTATAGTCCTATCATTGTCTCTTTTTTTCTTTTTGTGAAATCAATTTAAGCTTGATTAGCCCCATCTTTTTGTCAGAAAATTGTTTGGTTTTCCCTTTAATCTGTCCTGCTTTGTTTTGACCTTGTTATAAAAAATAAAAATAAAAACTTTAATTAGTAGGTTGCAAGCTCACTTTAGTCCATGCCCATATAAATAAAGGATCACACGTCTGGCTTAACGAAACCCTAAAAAAGAATTTGGGGTTTTGTGTCATCATCTGGAAACATACACATGGAAAGAGAAAGGCAAGGGACATGAGTGGAGAAAACCAGGCTAGAAAGTAGAACAAAGCCCCATTTATTTGCTTCAAAGTCCCTCTCATCTGATATAATACAAGCCAGGGAATAAAATCTAGTGCTAGTTTGTGAGTGTTTTTCTAAAGTACCCCAACATTCGAGAAAAGGGTCACAAAAGATTCTTGCATAAATTAGTAGTTGAACAGTTGTAACTTGGAGTTTTATAAAACACAAATATTCAAATGCTCCAATGATTAGTTGATCGAAGAGGGGGATTGCTTATTCATGTTCATCATTATGTTTGAATAATTTCTTTGAATCAGAAAATAAAGTCCAATAAAGGGCAGTCCATGTATTGTTGCTTTCATCAGATGCTCCACTGAAAATACGAAAGAGCACATGTTCATTGGAAACTATTTACATTTTATGAAAACATCAAATTCAATTTATCTACGAGAGATTCATGCTTTGCTTTTGTGGCATCATGATCTGATTGTTATCAAGGAAAAGAAAAACCAAAAAGTTATCTCATTGACTCAAATTTCTTATATTACTAAATAGATCATAATTTGACCTTAAAGGCTTGCTCATGAGAAACTGGTGATCAATAAGTAAATTATAATTCAACCCTAGCAATTGGATTGTCAATTCAATGTTCAATATACGACTTTGTTTAAGAGCATCAACACTATTTTGGCATATATTGAATTAAACTGTAATTTTACTTGCAATGGTACAGTTCAATAGTTTTAGTTTATTGGCATGTGGGTCCTATAGTTAGCCTATTGCAATTCAATAGAGGGTTCATTACATAGCACCATCTATTGCAATCGCATTTATTGCAATGAACTAAATCATACCGTTGCAAGTGAAATTTTACTATTTTAGTTCAATTTTATGCAATAAAATTACATTGATTCTGACCATTCCAGATGCTCTAAATAAATTAACATGATTGGATTCAATGTTCTTTACGTGCCAATCTCACTTTCACATGCATCATCATGAGAAAATAGTAACAATTGGGTGGTCTGACTTTTTATTCTTAATCTTTTAGTCAGAAATTGAAGGCTGTTTTAGTTATAATTAAATGAAAACATTTTCTTATAAGAATAAAAATATCCCACTGTGTTAAACGGCTAAATGAAGGCACACGTACTCAGCATAATATAATAATTAGTGGACAAGACAAGACAGCTCTTCACTATATAAACCTAGAGTCCTCTACACCATCTTCAATCACCCAATAAACCCTTTGGTTCTAGTTCAAATCCTTTTGCCAAATAAAAAGCCCCATATGGCCTATCCAGGAGTTGGTGCCACCACCATAACCACCGGTGTCACCACCGTGGACTGCCAGAAACAAGTCAGGTCGTGGCGGCTTCTTCGCTCTCTCATCGAACTTCTAATCCCAACTTGCAATTGCACCTTCATAGAAGATCATGATCAAGATCAACTACAAGCCAAACAAGAACAACAAAAAAGCCACTCCAACAACTACTACTATCCCCACTATCCCCAACCCAGCTTTGCTTGTTCCAACAACATCATAACCGGCACCATATTCGGGTACCGAAGAGGCAAAGTTAGCTTCTGTATCCAAACAAACTCCAAGTCCAATCCAATTCTACTTCTTGAATTAGCTTTGCCCACAACGGTTCTAGCTAAAGAAATGCAAGGCGGGTTTCTTAGAATAGCACTTGAGTCTACTAGCCCAGGAAATGGTGCTAGTACTAATTCTAATTCTCTTTTAGCCACACCTGTATGGACCATGTATTGCAATAGTAGAAAAGTTGGGTATGCAATTAAGCGCAGGCCTTCAGAGCATGACCTGGAAGCACTGAGGATGATGGGTTCAGTTGTTGTTGGTGCCGGAATTATAAGTGGTAATAAGGAGGATGATGAGGTTATGTACCTCAGAGCCAACTTTGAGAGAGTTTGTGGTTCAGCTAATTCTGAGTCCTTCCATTTGATTGACCCAGATGAGAGTATTGGCCAGGAGCTTAGTATTTTCCTTTATCGTTCAAGGTGACCATAATTAAATGATTATGGTTTTAAATCGGTTTTGTAATTAGCACAGCAACCCATATACCCTATATATACCCGCCTTCTTTTTTTTTTTTTTTTTTTTTTTTTTTTTTTTTTTTTGTTGAGCTGTTTTGTGTAGCAAGGCTTTTGTTTTTGTGGTACCAATTGTAAGGTTTCTCTCTAGTTTAGATGTATCTAATTGGAGAATAAGTGCTTTTGGGGTACATGTGTTAATCACTTTTATCCATGCCTCGTAAAGAGTAGAGATTTGTAAGAAGTGTGGAAGTGAATGTGTAGCTTCAAGCTTTTTAATTTGTCTCCTCAATTTTTTTTTTTTTTTTTTTTTTTTTTTTTTTTTGTTTTGAGTGTTTGAATGATGTGGTAGCTGAACTAGTAGGAGTGGCTTAAATGAGATGAGAAGAAGAAGAAGAAGAAGAATTTATAACAGAGAAAGCTAAAGCAAAACCTAGAGGAGTGGAAGGGGTAGCAAAAGAGGAGTCTTCTTCTGGACGAGTGGAAGGGCTATGCGTTCTTCCAACACAATATGAACGCCATCTTTTTTCTTCTAAATATTAAATGAATATATAATAAATATAATATAACCTTAAAATAAAAAATTGGGCCTCCTGAATAGTGGGCCCAG